GAGCGATGCTGTATCAGTAATCTCGTTTCAGCTTTTCAATGATAAAACCTCAATATACACGGTAGTTGATATTAGCTGTTCAACATTTCAGTTTATGATCAAAAGTAACGCGAAGAACGTAAACGTTTATCAAATAATCTATATATGATCTTATTTGTACAAACAGGAACAAAAGTCTAATGTGTATATGTAAACGTATAGCGTATTCATTAACAAAATTTTTTCTGTGTTTATCTACTATCACGCAGTTTGATTTTGGTATAGTATAAATATTCTTCAATCGTATAAATATTTTTTAAACTTCAATAAGAGAATGACCAATGCAATCTGAAGCGGTTCGTGACGTTTAATAATAATAATAATAATGATGATGATATTTTTGCGTGAATCTCATAAGCCCCAGTCTAACAGCTAACTCTACACCGCCGCAAATATTTTGTCTCCATATAATAAAATTTTGTATAGCAAAAAGTTTATATTCAGCAATAATGTTCCTGATGGAAATGTTATATAACGTATAAACTTGTTTTTAATTTCGTTACAAAGCTGTTGATTATACCTATGAACTATATGCGTGCACAATACGCCGAACTAAGTTCAAGTACTTAGAAGTCAAAAGAGAGCCTACTATTGGAAAATGTAATTTAGTCCTTTGTACTATTTTGTATGCATTGTAAAGCAATAGAATCACACACAGTAGCCTAAATAAAATTAATAAAATTAACAAATGTCGAAAACTAATCGCAAATGTATTGATATACATATTTCTACCAACTTGCATTGGTTGCAGAACAATGCAAATCTATCTCAAAACGTTTGCGCATGTTTTTAGGAAATTCTATAAACATTATGTATAATATAAAGATGCTTCTGAAAGGCTTTAAGTTGAACAAAATTTTGTAAACTTTGTATTTTCAATAGACGATAAGAAAACGTTTTATAATGTTCGAGAAATGTAATACTTGACTCTATTTCTACATACAAAAGTCTGTAACATAAGCCACTGGAAAAAGTGAAGGAAAATAAAATGTATTTTATGAATAAATATATATATATGTAAGAGCGAGAAATGTGTACTATACAAAGAAATCGTTATTCATTTGCTTAAAATAGACAGAATGTAACTTATTTATTTTACTCTTTTAAAAATGTTAAACGTGATTAAGAACTGTCAAAAATTGTCAAGATAGATGAAAGTGTATGAATAATATATTGTACGATTATTAATAAAATACACGTGGAAACTTCTGCACTTTATATTTCATTCGCTACGGTAATATTTTCCGTGGTTCCTTAATTCTTTAACTTGTATACATTTTTTAGTTGACTATGTTAAATTCTATACGCGCGGAAAGTGAACTACACACATCGTCGCCTTTTAATAAAATCATTGGGTAAACGACAATTCGAGATACTTTAAAAAGTGTGTTTATATAAAGACCTCTTGACGTCCAGCCAATTGACCAATTTGGCTAATGCAAACCTCGCTCGCTTGATCTCTCGAATCATACGCTTTTGCGAGGATTATTAATACCAATGACTTGCTGCAAGATCTATATATATCGCGCAGTAAACTATAGTGTGCTGAAGCATCGCGTATGCAACCGTCACGAAGGCCAAAATTTAGTTACGCGAATGAGAGCAAAGTTTGTGCGAAAGGTTTATTTTCCTCTGTGAGAAGCTTTACCGACGAACACGAGATTTTAAAGTCATATATGTCTCTCGTTTGAATCTTCGTGGAAACACTTGCTATAATATCTGCGAATTTATAATATTTCCTCAATCATTATACAGATTAATCCGCATCGATCAATCTTTATTGTCATTCTATACATGTATTGTCTTTTCCGTTCTTGAAATGTTAATTACTCAACGTGACTCAACGTCGACGTGACGTGGATAATCGATTCGTCATAACAGAAACTCGGTTAAACTATTTTGCAATTCTTTCCCTAGAAAGATATTCTAATTGCATGCGCGAGGAACATTCCGATCGTTATAAGCATCTAATCTTCACAAGTCTCCAAGTACTTGCAAGTCGATAAAAAAAATCGACATTTTCCTTATTCAAATAAAATGTAAGTTCTTGAAAATAAAATCATACCTGCGACCGCTTCCACATCGTTCGAACGCATCTGCTAGATATTATGAGGACAACAGTCAACATGAGGACAATCGAGCAGCTGAGAGCTATTTGCCGCACGTCACAGAAGAAATTATATAACAATCATCACACAATGTAGTTATTAACACTTGGATACACCACATTTCGATAAAAAGATCTTCGACGAAAAACCGATTGCCAATTCATTTTCCAATGTGAAACAGAAATATCAGATATATATATATATATATATATAGAATTACACGGATTGTGTAAATATTCACAAGTTTGTTACAAAAAACAAACACCGGTCATTATTATTTGCAGTTATGAGAAAACAACGTGTGTTTTTCATATTTTGCTACCTGTTCGGATTAATGACTATTTGCGTTTTTTGGAGGGAGCTATCGATGACGCTGATCACCGTTATTTCGGCCAATCATGTTAGCTGCTACTGGAGCGGATCCTGCGGTATCAAGGAACTCGAAGAAGGACAATGGGGTTAGTTAAACGATATCTTATTTCTCGTAGATATATCAAGTATCATTTAAATGATATCTCGAGTATCACGTGAGATACGATAGATAAATAAGATCTCGAGATACTATTTAAATTTAGATAAAATCAAAGTTAAGGCAAATTATTTTATAATTATATCTACTATTACTTTATTAAATTATCTATGACAAGAAATATAGAGCTAAAAAATAATCTTAAAATATATAGACTAAATATTTAAAGAGATAAATTAATCAGTTATTTCCTTTCTAACATTTTAAGAATTTATTATAGAAAATAAACGCAAAAGTTAGTACTATCGCGAACAATTTTTTTTTGTCGATCAATTACTAACGCATGCGATAAAGAATACATTCTTTATTGCATAAAGAATGCATAGAAACGCATTTAAAAAAAAAATGCACTTTTCTTCATCTAATTAAATAATCGGAATTGAAGTACACATGGGAAAATTATTTAATTGATAAGAATTTTTTAATTGATTTTAGAATCTATTTAATTGATAGAAATTTTTAATTTGTTTCAAGAAAAAATTACGAGTCTTGTGTTATCAATAAGTGTGCTAAACTAATATGCATAGCAGCAGTAAAATAGACCGGATACACGCGATTCAATGGAACTAAGATATGATAATTAGATATCAAATTCATTGTGATACTCTAGAAGCATTTTGATAAGGTATGCAATGACTCGTCGTCAATAATCAGTAATATTCCGCAATGTTGCAGCTCATGCTTTTCAAACGTATTATTTTTAACATATTATTCATAACATGTTAAAATTTCTGTCTTATCAAACTGCATGTTGGCAAAAAAGTTGTATAAACTCTCTTCTAATGTATTCATTACAATTGTAAATTACAGACGTACTCGGTGGCCTTGATCTATGTGCCATCGATTTTATATTAATATGCAATTATGTCTACTTGTGCTGACAGTAGAATATTTATGAGAACAAAAATATGCGGTTACAAACCATTCTAAGCACTTTAGACATATCTGTATGATTTATTTTTTTATTATATATATCATAACAATATTGTGATGAATTCAATTTTACAATAATATATTAAAGTTTTATCTCTCAACATTTCTGCGATTTATTTTCCAATTCTAAAATAAATTTAAATTATTGATTAATTATCTCGTTAGTATATCTCTTTAAATATTAGTCTATCTTTTTTTAAAATCGATGTGTCAATCTCTGAAAATCGAATCAGAGAAATCTTTTAATTGTATGACAGATATATATTTATGTTTACCTTATAAATTAATTAATAAATTTATTTTTGTCATTACTTTAAAGAAAGAAAATTCACATGTTTTTAATTATTTTCTACGTAAATGCTTTAGCTTAAAAGCTAAATCATTTAAATTTATTTTTCAAGCGTATATTTTACCTGTTTTCCTTTAATTCCTAGACATACAAATGCTGATACCAAGCAGATGTATATTCTTTCACGAGACCACGTGTTCATCGCCTAATCTCACGCCTCGACAAGCATGCGCCGTGGAATCGGCGGCCAGAAACAATCGCAATTTGAATGTCTTCCTACTTTACTTCGCAACGGGGCAGTTCCCGGAAAAGTCTAAGAAATTCGTTGAAATTTTAGAAACCTACGACAATGTGTACATAAGGAGAGTACGTTTGTCAACATACGTTATTAATACGCCGATAGATTACTGGTTCTGGGTAAATATTCATAGATTTTGGGAGAAAGAGATTTTGCACGAATGGCTGCGTAAAGACTTCCACGATTATGTCCGGATGTTGACACTGTGGAGATTTGGCGGTGCGTCATTGAATTTGAACAGCGTGGTGCTGACGTGAGTTTGGCAATTATATTCCTCTTTCTTGAAAACTTGAAAATAAAAATAGCAACAATAAACAAAATTGATTGATAATTTGCTAATAAAAATTTCTCGTTAACATCAAATATATATACGATAATATATCTTAAAATCTGTTAGATTTAAAAGTATTTTCCGTATGAATAAATGAACGGTAGTATATCTATATTCAACGTCTATTAACGAATCTGCTGCATAAATACGTAATAAAACAGACGGCACGTTTAGATAAATAAGAATAAATAAAGAATTTTTTAGATCGTTAGATGAGCTAACTACTTTCACGGGTGTGCAAAACAATCGAGATATGAACGTCGGCGTATTTGGCATCGACACGAGCACGAATTTTGGTAGAAATTTTGCTGACAGTTGTATGGAAATTATTAAAAGTATCAGTGTGAACAGCTATTCACAATACAATATCACAAGAGTCATAACCGAAGCCGTGTGGAAACTTTGTTATCAACAAAACGTGAATATGATAAATATTTTACTTTACTTTGCAAACAAGTACTTCGTTTAATCTTCAATGTGCTTCATGGATGTATATTTCTCTCTCTCTCTCTCTCTCTCTTACTGTACACGTAATTTAAAAAATTTTATATAAAACAAATTGTAAATTTGAATTTTGTAACATAAACTAAAACTTTTAAATTGTATTATATTGTCATCACTTGCATGACCATTGGACAATTAATAAATCTCATTACATTAATGCATTGTATAAATGCTCAACACACATGACTAATAGAATCTCTGGTAAAAAAATTCTTATCTCATATTTTTGAAGAATTTGTCATACTTTTTAAATATAGAAGATTTCTGAAAAAAACTATAAACTTTTTTTTAATAAATTATCTTCAGAAATGATAAAATAAGACTTAATTCTGAGAATATTTCAGAATTTATTATACATATACTTATAAAGAAGTTTAGAAAGGTGTAGACTTTTTCAGCATTTTTTAAAAATGTCCCAATTTATATTTAAAAAGTTAGGAAATTTTTTCAAAAGTTATAAAATTATATAGAAATTCTAAAAAATTCTGAAATTTATATAGAAAAATTTTGAAAAATTATACATGAAAAATTCTAAGAAAATTTTTGCCAGGGATAATTCAGATAATAAAAAAGTGATTGAAATGTGTGGAAAGAAAAAAAAATTGAAAAACTTTTAACAATAACACAAGAATCGTTCATTAACCTATTCCTTTAGCCTGAACAAATTTCGGTCTTCATAAATGTTTCGCAGGACAAAGAATGTCGGCAGTTTACGATCTACCCACCGGAGAAATTCTATCCCAGGCTTCCCGATTCGCAAGGGGTTCATCACTCGAACAAAATGCGGACGGAAGAGATGCTGAAAATCGGAAAAAACGCTATGACGATCCATACGTGGAGTGACGACCGAAAAGATGCCGAAACGGACGACAATGTAGCGGCTTACGAAATGGCGGCCAAACAAAATTGCCCAAAAACATACGAATTCGCTGGAAAAAATTTTTAAGCTCGCGGCCGACATTAATTATATGTGATATTAACTGATAACACAAAATGCATGCAAATGTATTACAGATCGGTGCATGCAAACTGTAACTGAGTCTAAAGTTATGTTTATAACGCGATCAAAGGCTGTATACGATCATATTATAAGAATACACGGAAAATCGTTAGATACCTTTCTAAATCTTAACCTTTAATTCATTTATAATTGTTTGTTCCCCTCTGGAATTTCGTTTTTCACAAGCTTTAGTCTGAATTAGAGGCTTGAGATACGCCGAAGACGTACATACTTTCAGACGAGACACAACGAAGACCCGAGACCGTCGACTGCCGTCGACGTTCAAAATCATCGATCGTGATCAAATGAAAAAAAAGGTGTGCTTCGTATCCGGAGACAAAGTATCAATGTTACTGACTGTCGATATAAATATTATGTGCACCTGTTTGCCGGTATTGCGTTCAGATGGCGCGCCAGTACCATCAATTCTCCGATGTTTTTTTCTCCCTCGGCATTTGCAGGTTACGTTACAGCAAGGACAACTGTTTACGTCATTTATATTTATGCGCGGGAATGTCGTTTATTATGCGGCGTTCGTGCAGAGTCAGCGGTCTCGGACGGCACTTATCTTGACGATTTTTTCAAACGCGCCAAGAGCGAACCCGATTTTTAACCAAAGTCGCTTGTCGCGTTGAGGTTACGTCGGTCCGATTGGATGGCAACGTATACTTGTAAACAGAGACGCGGGGAAATGAGAAAAATTAACCAATTGCGTCGCTTACGCACATTCGCGTGACGCGCGCTACACGCCGATAACAATCCAACTCGGACGTTATCAATTCCCTCTCGGGCGAGATCCGCACGATGACTTGACGATAAAAGCTTCGCGGCTCGAAAGGACTCGACTCGGTCGTTCGACTCGTATCTCCGATGCGGAGCGCGATACTGCTTCGCGTTTCGAGAATACTGACGGCGCGAAGCTCGATCGTTCTTCTCACGCGTGTCGGACAATTGGGCACCCTGGACGCGGCGATGGCCCAGCGAATCTTCAGGGGTCGTAGCGATCACTACGATGGCATCACGATCGACTCGGCTGAGGAGGCCTGCGACAATAAGACATTCGCACAGCGTCTCAAAGGTAGAGATTTTGCCCCTTCTCGTATCCACAGGCATGATCAATTGTACATACACATAAATATATATAATTATGATATTACATATACATGATATATTATATATATATGATATATTATATATATATGATATATTATATATATAATTATATCATATTGTGTGAGTATGATTAGATTTTATTTAAAAATTTCAGACAATTTTTGTTCTTTCTCTCCTCAAATTTGCTAAAGTTTACTTGCAAACGATACGTCATATTTTTTAAACTTCATTGAATTTAAAAATTTCAGCCAATTTTTGTTTTGAAGGTTTTAAATAAAAATAAAGTTTGTAGTAAAACGGAAGCACTTATAATTAATTAAAAATTGTTTCCCCATCGAATTTTTGTATTCCATATATTTATTACGTCTTATTAAACTGATATCAAAGAAATAAATTTGATCTACTACAGCAATATATATATTTTAAAGATTAGAAGGAATAAATACACGCATATAATTGCTAAATATTTTTATAGACTCTTTAGAGCAATGGATAGAGGACAAGAGACGCACTATATGGTTTCGCGTGCACATACCGCATACCGAGTGGGTTCCGATATTGACAGGGCATGGATTCATCTTCCATCATGCGAAAGAGGAATACGTCATGTTGTACCGTTGGCTGCCCACCAACGAGGAATGTAATGTCCCAAAATATGCGCATACGTACTTGGGTATTGGTGCATTCGTGTTCAACAAGGACACCGGTGAGATTCTTGTCATTAAAGAAAAGTACGCTCCTACTAAAGCAAGCTGGAAGCTCCCGGGGGGCTATGTAGAGCCAGGTATATCTTAGCAGAAGCCGTTGTGCCTAAGTGCACCCGTTATCTATATCTATATGTGTATTTCTAATCAAACATATATATTGTCAGGGGAAAATATTGAAACTGCGGCCAAGAGAGAGGTTCTGGAAGAAACGGGAATTCAGGCGGACTTCAAATGCCTAATATCCTTCAGGCACGGGCACGACTACTCCTTCGGGTGCTCCGACATATACATGATCGCGTACCTGACGCCTCGGAATTTCGAAATTGAGAAATGTAAACGAGAGATCTCAGAGTGCAGATGGATGAAGGTAGAGATTTGTGTGTTGCGCGCAATAAGAATCTTTTCTCTTACATTGCCGAGAATCAAGACTTGTATTTGTTTTTTTTTTTTTTAATTTGTACATAATCTGAACAAAATCTGCGCGCAAGCTGTACCTGTTTGACATATGTGACATTTAACGTGTATACTGCGACACTAATTGCTTAGCACACATCTGTACCTTGTTATATATCTGTTTTCAATTTACGAACATCTATTATTTTTCCAGCTAAGTGAATTCATGCAACATCCAGAAGTACATGCAAATAACAAGACTTTAGCCACGAAAACAATAGACTTTCTTCAACATCAAATGGGCATGGTTGTAAATTACGGAATACATCCCATTACGAAAAAGCAGATATGCGTGTACAGCGTGGAGAATACAGATATTGGAAATACATCTGTAGAATAGAAATCTGTAAAAACTTTTATCTTTAGAAAAAAAAAAAATAAATCATGTATATATAGAATGAAATACTAGAGACTTTATGTGCAATAATGTGCAGAAAAAACGTGCATCAAAATTTCTTTCGTTACACTATCATTACTATAGAAATAAACATACAAGATAATAATAGTTAATTAAATAGTGGTATAAGTTAATAGTGGTATTTAAGTTATTAAATGATATTGCAAATTAAGGATTAAATTTTTTGTCTAACAAATTATATTATGTCTGAAGAAGACTTATCTTATATATCACATATATCACAATAAGAGTTAAGAGCTAAGCTTTCGTATTATAGTATATAAATGTTCTTTGGCTATCTTACAATTAATGTTAACACATGACATGTGCTAAACGCGAACTTAAGGTAAGTTTCATCCTGTTTAGCGTGATTACTATTTGATTACTGTTATATACAATCACACTTATGAGTCACAGCATGTTGTTATCATTCAATTTGTAATATTAGAAACATGTAACACAAATTTTAATAATGTTACGCGGTTACGAAACTTTAGATTTTTATACAAAATTAATGATGAACTGTATAGGAAAAAACTGTGTGATACACATTTCTGCCAATTATTGTAAACTGTAAACATGATTTCTGTCAATTAGTACTTTAATTAAAATAGAGAAAAGGAATTTAGTGTGAGGAGTGCCATTGCTGCAGCAGTAATAGGTGGCATACACCATTGGTAAAAGGATGGACGCGGAGCTGCTGTCATGGAAAGAATGACCCAACTCGTGAAACGTAATATATTGCTTAATATAAGCGAGCGATATCCCTTGATCCGAGGTACAAAAGAGTACTGTACGATATCTAAGAGACTGCATGAAGCTAATATCGACCAACTTATGAAAAGGACAAGGTCTTCTGTCGAGAGTCTCCTATCATATCTGTAATAAGTACGTCCATTTTCGTTAACTAATTTTTATGAAAATTACGATTTTATAAATTCTGCTTTTTCATTACAGTCATTAAATTATGACGATTGATTGACTAATTCAATACCACTGTAACGAGAAGACGGAAGTCTTAAATCGAAAGTTTTAATAAATACCTGAAATTTTTCGCCCAAACCAGGACAGATGGAATTGCTGGGATTGCAACAAAACTGTACAGCAAAAATAGGACAAGACAGTCGGATATTTCTCGACTGATTTTTCTCTGACTGACGCTTGACTCATCGTTTTCTTCTTCCCTCCTCATTCTCTTCAAACGTTTAAACCAATCGAATTGTCGGAGTGGGGCCAATAACATGTCCTCTAAGTAATCTTCGTACATCCTTGTTAATTTCAAAAAATAGAGGAACACCGAAATGAGCATACCGAGAGCTGCGCACGTTGTTGAAATTAGAAACACTGTGAAAGCAATTATAATTGTTGGCAGCTGATCCAGCCCGCTCAATAACCAGTCTGACCACGTTACTGGAAGCGTTATTGCACGTGCTAAGAACCTGCAAAAAAAAATATGACTTATTAAAATATTTTCATTGATTAATCAATCAATTTGTGGCCAATTTTTCAATGTGTAATTAATACAAGAGAACATTTTTATTTCAATATAAATAAAAAATGTTTTCTAATTTTAATATAAACGAAAAACTGTACCTGACAGCTATTCCATGTGCAAAAGAACCAAGAAATATGACCGAGAAGCATACACCGATGGCAGATATAATAATAATACATAAAGCGATGCAGACTTCGTAAGCTACGTTGAAGACGAAGGACAATATTATGGTAACAACTATTGACGGTAGCGCATCTGAAAAGTGTTGTAGCCTGATAGAGACGAGATGTAAGAGTACACTGATAATGACCATGTAAAGCAATGGCCAACGGTCCCGTATTCTACAAGAAATCTTATCGATGATTCCATCAGGTTGCATGCTAATCATATAAATGCATTCTGGGTCTAATGTCACTCTTAAACTTGTTGTGTCATCGGAACGTTCACAGACTGTCTGCATTTTCATCGTTTTCGGACCACCGTCTCTGCATCGTAATTGAATGTAGAAAAGGTTCTTAAGCGAAGCTCGATTTATTGCGAAATACACATACTTACTTATCCGTAAAGATTCTCGATTGAATAAATCCTACATTCGACGATTCCAGCAGCTCGACAATGCCGTGAATGTGCTTATTACAATTCGGCGATTTCAACTCAATTGTAACCGCGTCTAAAAAGTAGGGAAGTGTTATATAATATCTCACACTTCCCTTGACAAGTTGAAACACATTAAGTCTACGCAGGCCAAGGAAATATTTAGGCTGTAAGAATTTGTTTCTCGTAGGTACGATTCGATCATTGTACAAGTAGGAATCGAAGTTGATTGTGAGCTGTTTCTCCAAATCGTCTGGAGTTAATTTCACAATGGCGTGCGTAACGTGCGGATATTTTATCTCTTTCAGATCCAAATCAACGGTCCTTCTCGTTCGATGTAAAGGGTCAGGTAAAAGTCTTGTTTTATTTGTCAAATTCCAACCCCATTCACTGAAAAGTATTAAAACTTGTCAATAAGTAATAATTTCTTATTGCAGCAGTAATATGCAATTCAATGTTACCAAATTTTTTTCTGTCCTTGTTTTTTTAATGCCGAGCACACAAACAGCCAATCTTTGTTTTGTACGTTTATCGCATCAATGGTTAAGAAGTCAGATTCTTGAAATAGTTCCACCGCAAGATATACAAACGATTTTTTAGTTCCTTTCTTATTATCCCAGACATACTGTTGTTTAGGTACGCTCATCCATTCGCCATCGGCTTCAAACTGAACTTTTTCTTCGTAATGATGTAATTTTTTGCCTGAAGTGTGCTGAAATTGTAATTTTATACATTAAACTTCACTAATGTTTTAGCATTAATTCTGAAATTTAAGGATCTTTTAAGATAAAAATTAAGTATATTATATAGAAAGTAATTAAATTATCACGCAATCACGCATTCAGAATCCCGACTTTGGGCATCGGCAGTCACTTACTTGTAAGAAGTGATAGGACAGGGATTTCATCTTCAAATCAGGACTCGATGTAATTTTAGGCGGTTTGCTCGAATAATCCACGGAATCGAACAGCGAACGCACAATTACAAGTACCAGCTGTTTACACCATAGAATACTCAAATGATCTGTCGATCTCCAAACGGCTGGTACACTCGTGGAGAGAACATTTATATCCGCCACGCGATCGTAAGCTTGCATAGCAGGCACAAGTATATCACGTGGTCCACCTCCGATCGATACCACCTTGACTCCCGCATCCTTAATTTTGTGCATGTGTCTTTCCAATTCATAGTAATAATTGGCAAAGGTACTATCGAGGACTAAGGAGGGAGTATGAGGAGTAGCCAAGTTTATTATTATACTTGCAAACGACGGGTCCATATTCGGTGCCAGCAACAGGGCTCCTTTTGCTATCATACCACCCTGAAAGAGATGCCAGTTAATTTCAATCACTCCCGAGAACACGCATATCCGCGTTCCTTACCATTGAATGACCAATCAATACGACTTTGTCCATCTTGCCCCTGTACAAAGCCAGTATTGCCTTTATACAATGTGAGACATACACAGTTTGTTCCATAAGCACACCTTGCATTAATGAATTTACAACAGTAATTAGTATCTCGTGTACATTAATATCGATATATTTATGAATGTTTTCTTATATATAATATTATTTTTACCTCCATACAATGCAGACAAATCCTTACTGAATGAAACAGTAAAAAAGTCAAAGTGAAAGGAAGTCTCTCGACTTTTTCTGAAACTTACCGAAGCGATAGATCGCACTGAAATAAAAGAAAAAAGAAAATTCAAATATCTATATTATAAAAATGAAAGATTTGTCATCAAATTGAGCCCCTAACGTATCAATAAAGTGAATATAAACCTTGCTCGTGAGATCCGGCATTTCCCGGTATGAAGAGAACCGGTATACCAGTAAAATGCATTCTTCTCAATCTTTCCGTTAGAAAGCCTTCCCCATAGGCATACAATCCAAATCGCGGGTATTCCGCTTCTATATCATCTTTCAAAGATACTCTCTGAAACAGAATAAATTCAATCATTTGAAAATTGCAAAAAAAAAATGTATATACAGACAGGCTGAGTTCCATAAAGTGCATGATATCATTTCATCCTTGTCGTTCAATAAACAACAAGAATAAAATAGTATATCATTTTATCATGTACGGAACTCAGCAATTTTCAGCATTAAAATATTCCTTGTACATTTGACAAATGAAAAAAATTCGTATCATTTCTTTGTGTTCTGGGGGAAAAAACAAGTGACAAGTCTAGTTGAAAAGAGTAAACCTACCAGGAGTTTGAGATAGGGAGATAAGGATTCAAGATAAGCTCGCAGATCAAAGTATCCCTACTCCCGTTGCGGAAGTAACTTTTAAAACCCCGATGTAAAGAAATCAGATGGTAGCTAGTAGTCAAGTGTACGACCTGCGTATCAATGTATCACATGTAAAATAGAATAAATTCAATCCAATCATTTGAAAATTGCAAAAAAAATGTATATGTATATACAAACTGAGTCTTGTAAAGCGCATGATGTATCATTTCATCCTTGTTTACCATTTAGTGAACAATGATACATCATTTTATCATGCGTTTTACATAACTCAGTCATATTCAGCATTTCATTTAAAATATTTGCTTTACATTTGACATATGAAAAAAAATGTATATCGTTCTTCATGGTCTGGGGGAAAAAATGAGTGACAAGTCTAGTTGAAAAGAGTAAATCTAACAGGAGTTTGAGATAGGGAGATAAGGATTCGAGATAAGCTCGCAAATCAAAGTGCAATCCCCACTCCCGTTGCGGGAGTAATTTTTAAAAGCCCGACGTAAAGAAATCAGATGGTGATAGTGACGTGTGTGACCTGTGCCTCTATGTACCACGTATAAAAAGATAGAATAAATTCAATCTAATCATTTGAAAATTGCAAAACAAATGTATATACACAAACTGAGTTCCGTAAAGCACATAATGTATCATTTCATTCTTGTTTACCATTTGATAAACAACGAGGATAAAATAATACATTTTATCATACGCTTTACAGAACTCAGTCATACTCAGCATTCTGTTTTTCTTTACACTTGACATACGAAAAAAATTCTTATCATTCTTCACGGTCTGGGGGAAAAAATCGTGAGTTTGAGAGATTAGGAGATAAGGATTCGAGATAAGCTCGCAGATCAAAGTGCAATCCCCACTCCCGCGGGCGCGGGAGTAACTTTTAAAAGTCCGACGTAAAGAAATCCGATGGTGCTAGTCACGTGTACGACCTGCGCCTCCACGTACCACGTATTGCGGATACTCGAACATGTACGTCATCTCGCACGTGTTCTTCTCGTAGTCGTTGATGTATCTCGATAGTCCGAAAACGAAGAGGTGAGACATCATCCACAAAAACGGCGCCAGCGAGCCGTAGAATATCACCCACTTTAGCGAGAGCGTCTGGAGCTTGTCGAACCTTTAAGTGGAAAGATTACTTGTTACCTGACTTAACAATTTACGTTGTTTCAATACCGGCTTAACACTCGAGACATTTCTACGTTCATCGAGACCGTTAGACGGCCTCTCCCGGGGGTTACAACTTTGGACGATGCAACTGGACTTAATATAGGATAGTAAGTACAGGAAATTGCGCTCAGTTTTCGCTAAAATACAGAAAGATATCTGTTGAAAGTAAAAATTACATACCAGGATAACTCCCTAACTCCACTTCCCTCGGGATTCATTGTGACTTGTGACAGTTTTTTTTTTTGGAGGTTATGCTCCCCGGTTGGGGAACTTGTGTGCCTTCAACCCAATCCTTAGGGTTCTATGACACAGAGTTACTTATTCTATATAGTCTTTTACTCTCTTACTATATTATTCCGTCTATCTTCTTAATGTGACTTACTAAGGGTTATGATTTTCTCTCTTCGAAGTTCGGATATTGAAATAAAAACACAAATTCGAATAAAACTCAAGGCGCATGCGCGGCGCCCCGTGGCTCCTAACTGCGCGCGCCTCCTCGATGTTTGTCCGCGACTGAAAATTGGACAAGAGGTGGGGAGTTTTCTCGTATGATCTAGGAACATCGGTTAGGATTTTTCTCCGTTCGGCATCACTGCGTAAAATTCGCGACTTCCGGTCTTCCATTCCAGTGCTCGTTTCCACTCGTTTCCCGCGCGACCGGTCTACATGTGTGGCTGTGTGTTGATTGAGTGCGACCGGCGCGAGGCGGTGCACTTTAATCTTTTAATTATTTATTGAGTCTCTTTTTCAACTTAATCGCGTCGAATGTACGGATTCTCGTCCGATCACCGCAATTGTTAAATGACATCGGGCACGACGGTGTCGCTGCTCTGACGACCACGCGGATCTTTCGAATCGCCACCGATCGCCACGTGGTCGCGATCGAGAAGAGGGTTAGGAGAGAGAAGACAGGGGACCGCGTTGCACACGGATAAAATATCAGAGCACAGGGAAAATGAAGCGAAAGGACTCGGACCCGCAGGTGAAAGCGCGAAAGCGAAAACGAACGTGCTCCGAGACGGAGGCGACGGGGTCGCCTAAGGAGCCTTTCAACCTGAAGGAGCTGTCGAAGAGGCAAATTCTCGAATGCATTTCCGCGATTTTCCACCTGACTCAGGAGCAGTTGAAGGAGACGAACAGCCTCCTCGCCGAGGAGGCTCAGCCGTTGTTCATGCAGGTGACGAGCGTCCGAGTCCCGGAGATGCCTCGCCGACAGATGAGGATGTAAGCGTTGAATTTATGGATTCTCGAAAGATTTTCACCTTCTTATATAATTGAAACTCTTCACGTGATTATATCTTATTATTGCCAATGGATCCTTATGAGATTCTCTGATTACAAATCCCATAATGATGACACATCGTGCATAGTAATATATGATCGTTTCCCCATTGAATTTCTATGAAATTCCTTTTGTTTTGTTTACAGACTGTTGCCGTATTCGATAGCGGCGCCAGACGACGAAGTAGCCTTATTTGTTTGCGACTTGGAGAGAGGAAGAAGAAAGGATTATGAGCCAACGGTGGAACACTATAAAAACTTATTGGACAAGCACGGGTGCACTCGCGTGAATGAGATAATACCTATGAATCGCGTGAAAACCGAATTCGATCAGTTCGAATTGAAGAAGAAGCTCCTAGGCAGTTACGATCACTTCCTTGTCGATGGTCGCATCGCCGGCCATATGTCTCACCTGCTGGGAAAACTCTTCTACAAACGAAGAAAGCTGCCGACTTCGATCAGAATGGAAGGCAAAGACTTGAAGCACGAGATCGATTATGCACTGAGAAAAACCAGTATGGAGCTTCATTCTCACGGCGACACTCATGTTATGCAAATAGGGAACACGTCCATGAAGCAGAAGAGAGTCCTGAAAAACATACTGGCCGCCTGCGAGGAACTGTCCAAAAACTATCCCGGCGGTTGGGCGAACGTACGGGCTCTTCGATTGAAGGGCGCAACCACTTTATCGTTGCCCTTTTACGTGACGTTAAGTAAGTTATTGAAAAATAGATTATTTATTGATATAGATAAGATTGTTTCCTTGACGGGTTTATCTGAATTTCAGAGAATAAAAACACGGTTAATCCACGTGCGATTGCGGTACAGCCGAAGAGACCGAAAGCTTATCGCGATGTGGAAGGAGAGCTTTCGACGTTCGTGGGTAATACCACAGTCACGGTTAAACCTGAGGGCACAGTTATACTGAACAAGCATAAGAAGAAAAATACAAAGGAAGAAAAATCTGAGAAAAACACAGAAGGCACAGTTATCCCGAGCAAACGTAAGAAGGAAAACGCAAAGGAAGAAAAGTCTAAGAAAAACACAAAGGAGGAAAAATCTGTGAAAGACACTGAAGGCACAGTTGTGAACAACCTGAACAAACGTAAGAAGGAAAATGCAAAGGAAGAAAAATCTGTGAAAGATCGGAGAGACACAGAAGGCATAGTTATCCCGAAGGAAAACGCAAAGGAAGAAAAATCTAAGAAAAGCACAAAAGAGAAAAAATGTAAGAAAAACGCAAAGGCGAAAGCTGAGAATTGAGACAAAATGGAAATTTTGTTGTAATTTGTAACTTGTAATTTGTTACTTTATCATGTGAAATATTGTTGAAAATAATCACAGAAACTTTCTAAACATATAATATCATGTATGTTATCTAAGTTTAATATTAATTATTTAACATTAAATATCACATTTATGTCATATGCCTTGTTGTTCGGTCATTGTATCTTATTAATTATTAATAGATATTAGATAAACATGTAACATTGCTTAACAAATTATCCTTGTAGCTGCTCTTTTAGGATTTCACAAACTGTTTTTCACTACTTTTATTTTTTGACTTTTATTCCGGTTGTAGTGAAGATTTTTCCTTATTTTTATACTTTTTATTTCGTCCTTTGATCTCTATTGATATTTAAATGTATCTTATTAGTTGAGATAATCTTATTTTTTAGTTTTTCAAAATCTTCATATTTAGTTTTTTTTTTATATTTACGTGCAGTCAAAGAAAATTATTATCTTCCGCTGTGAATTATATTAAATGTTAGCTAATTGCCTCAAAGGATATCACCTGGGTATCGCGTAATGATAAATAAAAGCAATTTATTTGATTAACAAATAATGTTTTTTTTTTATTAACATACTAGATTAAGTGCAAATAGTCGAAATTGTGGCGAAGGTTCCCTTCCCAATGCAAGTGATCAATACAAAATGGTCTGATCCTTCTTAGATATACTCTGGTACCCATTAGCGGGCAATGTTGGCAAACTGTTGGCGACGCCGTTAGAATTTTGCATGCTCTTGTACACATTTGTCGTGTCTATGACCACCTCGATTTCCTGGAAGTTCTGGAGCCTCTGAACGTCCTTCTCCCCTCTCAGTCTGGTATTGGGCAACTTTCTCAGCTTCTGGATTTGATGCGAACTGATATCCAGCTCCTTGCAGCACAGAATGACCAGAGAATGATACGTCAGCTCGCTTCGCAGTATTTCTACCTCTATGAAATCCGGATCCGCTGTATTGGCGACCCGGATTTTCAGCACCAGTTCTGAAAATAGATTGCACAATTACACACAGTTACATAATAAATTATTTGTCGCTACGCAGTTAAAAATTTTTTCACTTCCAATTGAATCAGTATAAACATATATAATAATACTGAATAAATATTTTCAATAATAATGGTAATGTTATAAAGGGAAATCATAATTGATTTAATTTTTTTTCTGTTCGATGCAGATGACTGTTAAAAAAAAAATTGCTAAAGGAATCTTATCGAATTTATATCGAACCATCTTGACACGACGAGACGAGTCTGCCCTTGTCGTACATGCTGCTTCTGGCTTTCGAAGAGTTCGCAGCGGCGCGCAGAAAGTCTGGCGGGGCGGAGTACTCGGACGTGACCGCGCGTAACGACGAATCGTACATGATCCGCTCGAGGTCGTCGCTCGTGTTCAGAAGATACATGATCTGTTGGTTGCTGCAGATAGATGCCGGGGTCTCGCCTAGGAGGGATCGTACGTTCTTGTCGGCGCCGTTTTTCAGGAGTAGGGCAGCGATGTCGACGTATCCCTCTTTGCACGCCCAGTGTAGAGCAGTCCTTGAGAGAAACACGAGAGAATGAAACAATACGATATTGAAAGTATATCGCGGTAAACAAATCTTTTACATGGACACGCGATATCTCTTAAGGGATAGGGCGCGAGTTACTGCTGATTGACGAGCGTGAACTTTACACATTTAAAAAGAAAAAAATTCAAAATATAAATATGTGAAAAAAAAGGGATTTAAAAAGAAAAAAAAATTAAACATAAATATGTGAAAAAAAGGATTTAAAAAGAAAAAAATTCAAAATAAATAGGCGAATGAGTTTTCGTGGGCGCTGCCTCGGCGAAAGTATCATAGCAAAGTTGAATGACAAGTACCATCCCAGGACGGAGTCTCGCGCGTTAATGTCGACGCCTACATTCAAGAGATCCTGCACGCCGTCCGCGTCGCCGAGACAAACCTTGTCCCTCAGACGCTCCTCGAGCACTCGTTCCATTTTGCAACGATTCTACACGCGGTGGAATATCACATATTTATAATGCTACGCGCTAATGAAACGCGCGCGGCGAGACCCCCTTTCTGTCTCGAAAAATAAACTCAATGAGGATTTCTCTGGTCTAGAATCGCGTCACTTCTCTCCTCTGATCTCTATTCATTCTGGAATCTCTCCCATTCTCTCCCCGAAGCCCACCAAGCTCACTGTCTGTCACTTGCTGTCAATCTGACAAACAAGCACGCGTCAGCTGTCAGCACGCGTTCCGACACTTTCGCCTGCTTTCGCCTCGTGGCGCAGGCGCAGCTGAGCTGACAGACGAGAGAGAGCTCTGGGACGAAATCTGGACAAAATCGTCCGCGTTGGCATTACTGCGAAGCCAATCGGAGCAGGTCAAGCCGCCACAAAGGCGATAACGATCTGCAAAACCGTGATCACATTAGCGATTTTGAGATTGAGATTGAATTGGAATTTAACTAATTAGAAGAACAACAACAATAATAATAACAATTTCAGTTCGCTTTGATTGGCCAAATCGCTATAGTGTGATTAAAACCACATAGCGATTGAGATTAAGATTGAATTGGAATTCGACTAATTAGATTAATTGGAGGAAAAAAAATAATAATATCAAGTTCAATAAATTTTGCTTCGATTCGTCAAATCCCAATCCAATCTCAATAATCGCCAGTGTGATTACGGCTTAAAGACACGCGAAAGTTAACGAGGTCATTCGCGGTCGACTTGATACAAAAATGTGCGCTTCGGCATTTCTCGATTCGGTCAATTAGTAGAAATTCCTTCTTCCGATCGGTCAAATTGAATTGACCGAGGCGTCCGTATAGCGTCTCAAGCGGACCTCCGCGCGCCGCGTGGGCATCAAAGTCACAGTGGCGGCATGCGATATCGGCCTAACATCCGTTCACCAGACGGAAGGTGGCGATTGGTAGCCGTTACTAGATCTTGCATTATCATATGTTTTCCGCGCACACTGTCGCACAAGTGGTGTTTAACATTCGTACACCTGCGAGGAGAGAGAGCTGTTTAAGGCAGTGCAGACTCATCGCCGAAAAAAATCCTCTACACCAAAACACCGTTTTATTCTTATCGTGGTGGAGGACTTACGCGGGGTCAATTTTGCGATTGCTTGACGTACGTCGCGCGCGCGAGCAGCTCGACCACCCCGGCAATATGATTATAACGCTGAAAAACCTACAGCAGCAAACGTTCACGATAGAGATCGACTCGTCGCAAACCGTAAGTAAGAGGACCGTCCCCGGGTCGACGGTCTCCAAGTCGCACGGAGACCGACCGTCCTTCTCGCCGATATCGGGCCGAAACGATTAAAGACTGCTTTCCCCGTTGCCAGGTCAAAGATCTCAAGGAGAAGATCGAGACGCAGAAAGGCTTCCCCGCCGAGCATCAGAAGTTGATATACGCTGGTAAGGGATATGACCGTGTTTGAATAACCTAAGTCCGTCCGGGGAATCGCCCGCCCAAACGCCCGGCGTGTCCCCGTCGACGCGAGCCGGGGTGGGAAAATTCGCGTTGCAGCGGCGCACGGAGTGCCGCTCGGCCCCGCATACGTTTAAATATAGCTTCCTCGGGGGGATAGGAATGATCTTGCAGAAATGCTCATAGGTTATGTTTCCGGCTGGCACACGTCGTGCGATCTGTGGCAAATTTCTTGTTTTTCTTTCTTTTTTTTTTTTCTTTCCTTTACACCTCCCTCCGTGATCGTAACAATGTGCAAACGCTTGCAGGGAAAATATTAGCGGACGAGCAGCCTTTAACAGAATATAATATCGACGAGAAGAAATTTATAGTTGTTATGGTAACAAAGCCTAAAGCTGGTGCTACACCTAAAACAAGCGAAGAGCAGCGCGCGGAGGGTGATAAGAAGGAGGAGTCCACTAGGTAACTCTCGACGACCGCGGCGCTTCGCGCACTAGAGCGCGACGAATGTGCCGTTTGTTGTAAAATGTACTTGCATTTCAAAACTTACGAAATCAATTGTCAAACGTTGAGGAGGAGTTATTTCTCTCTTTTTTTTTTATCGGATTATGCCCAGAGCGGAAGTCGAGTACGCCTCATTTCTCCTCGTGTGTCTCTCTGTGTTGTAGCTCGGCAACTACACAACCTAGTTCAAACCCTATTGTTCAGGATACTACACGAGCAGCTAGTAATGTGCAAGAGCAACCAGCAGTAGCCGCCGCCACGCCCGCGGCTGGTCAAGCAGAAAGTGCCTTGCTAATGGGAGAGGATTATAATACTATGGTAAACAACATCATGGACATGGGGTACGTACGGCGAGGAGTGTACTCGCGCGCGTGCGAGTGTAGACGGTTAACCGTTGTCAACTGGAGCGATCGTTAATATTGATACGTGGCATTCTTGTCGTTTTGAATCAGGTACGAGCGCGAGCAGGTCGTACAGGCGTTGCGCGCGAGTTTTAACAACCCTGATAGAGCCGTCGAGTATCTCCTAACAGGTATACCAGCGCAGCTCTTTGAGGATCCACCCGAGGATCCGCCGGAGGCTCAGGAGCCGCTTCAGGAACAGAGCCAGGATCCGTTGGCCTTTTTGCGCTTGCAGCCACAGTTTCAGCAGATGCGCCAGGTCATTCAGCAGAATCCACAGCTGCTGAACAATCTGCTTCAGCAGATCGGTTCCACTAATCCTGCCCTTTTACAGCTCATCTCTCAAAATCAGGAAGCGTTTGTACGCATGCTCAATGAACCTGGTTAGTTCGATTTGCTCAAAGAAATCGTGTATTTTGCGATTGAAAGTTACAGTCAATAATTATTTGATAATATTAATTTATATAATTGCTTATATAATTTATAACAGTCTAGCATAGATTTATATAATTGTCTTGCCTTTTTTTTCTCTCTCTTTCTCTCGTGCAGTGGAACCTTCTTCTACGGGAACGGGGGCGCGAGTTTTGCCAGCGTCCGGAGGGGGCGTAGCGCCCGCGGCCGCGGCCGCGGCGGGAGGCGCTGTGAACGGTGGCGCTGGCACGGGCGCAACATCCGTAGGATCTGGTTTAATACAGATAACACCACAAGACAGAGATGCTATCGAGAGGTTGAAGGCGTTAGGTTTCCCAGAACACTTAGTCGTACAAGCGTATTTCGCCTGTGAAAAGAACGAAAATCTCGCTGCTAACTTCCTACTTTCGCAAAACCTTGACGACTGAATCACTCGATCTGATTTCTCGCGCGGTGTTTTTCGAATAAAAGTACAGGACTGACAGAGGGTGGATGATCGCACCATTTATCATTTTTACCTTACAATAATCATCTTTATTTTGTATATAGATATATACAATATCTATGCTATTTTATTTGTTGTGTAGATAAAGCCCTGGTGTGTGTTTGGTAAGCGATTGAAATCTAATGAATAACCGCATACCATAACATTACATGTATGTCAACTCTTTTAAGCATTGTTTCATACTTAAAAAAAAAGGGAAAAGAACATTTCATTCAATATGCAACGCATGTTTATGAGAGAAAGAATTGTTGCTTACAGCAGACGGTGTTGTAAAATCCATCCTTACAGCCTACAAGTGCTCTAAGATCTTATATTTCTTTAATATATATATGGAGCAATGTAATAATTGCATTTTTATATGAGAAAGCCTTACGAGCCTTACTCTGCAAACGAATACCTTGCAGTAGTTACATAATTGAGGGTCGGGCATATATAAATTGACGATGTGTTCACTCTCGCGTTAAGGTATGTTTTATACATATCTGAATGTTTGCATGTAGGTATAATAAGTGCATTTTGTACATTTCTTGGCTTTCTGATATAAAAATTATAGAAATGCATCTGTTTTCGGGCATGTGTACTTGCATATATTCGTATTTATGTATGTATGTAACAAAGAGATTTTTTTATTTTTAATCGATAATACCGGGGAAACTGATTTAAATGTTTTTAAAAGTACATATGTCACAATTCAGTATATTGTAACAATTTGTCAAAAAACAATTTATTATATATACATATATATGTAAAATCTTATTCTTAATCTATTTGGATCTTAATAATTGTTTCAACACAAATATCATATTAAATTTTTACTAATTTAGTAGTGATATTTTTTGCTTATCAAATCAATTAGAATTCGTAATTCAAATGAAATAGTTGAGATACTATGAATCTATTAGATAATCTTGAGACTGTAAGTCCTAGAATACATTGATTGTTATGTATATTATATCCAAATTCTATTAAAGCTAGACCATGAAACGAAATATTATAAACTATTTCAAATATGACATGCCTGATTGTATCTTTTTTTGCAGCATAAAGTAATGTTAATCTTTTTTTTCTATAGTACAAAAAAAGAAATTTATGTTTATCACATAATGACATACATACGTATGTACGTATTTATGCATGTTACATAAAGTAGGAAATTCTTAAGTCTTAAATTTGTACCATACAGTTACTTATTAATATCATTGAAACAATAATAAATATTGAGAAATTTTCATCGCTCTTACATATATTTAGTGCAAAAACAATATAAAGAATTATCCGTTGGAGAGTTGTAGTAAACAATGCATAAAATTCCAATCTGTTTATGCTGACTCGAGATTTATCCCCCCCCCCTTTTTTTATAAAAATAGAGAAATTATTAATAGAAATGAACTGCTGTTAAAAAACAGAACACATTCTCTGTTGTGTGCTCAACACACTTGTAATACATAGTATAAATGAATAAATTACGATTTCCACAAAAATACATGTTATATTATTAATAATTTTATAAAAAATTTAATCACATTCGCTGACTTTTATTCTTCAGTGCCATAGATAAAGTCATCTAAATGTAAAAGCATAACGCTTTGAAATGTGTGTATAACTAATGTTCTCTTAAAAACGTAGTAATATTAATATAAAGTATTTTCAGGTATTTCATTGGTCAAGATGTTTACATTATGCTTTTTAAATAATTTCATGCAATGTACAATAACCTTTTGAATGCGCGAATGTACGGGTGACTAAATTTAAGCTACAACAGAATTAAAATTCAACACATATAATCATGTTGCAAAATTTTGTTTATAAGTTACATGGGCTGCATTTGCTTTGGTGCTTGCAGCGCTCGCAGCATCACTTCATCCTTTTTATTTATCAAATGGTAAAGAACAAATGATGCTCATAAGCGCTGTAAGCGCCAAACCAAACGCAGTCATAATTCTATAACATAAATTTTATAAATACAATTACAGATATGTATGTATCCATACTAAACTTTAAGATAATTTATATGTACAAGATCACACGTTGAAATATGTACAAATTAGAAAAGTCAATGTTTTTATTTTATGCTATTTACAAGAGTCTTAAGAAGCTGAAGAAACATCATTCCCATGTAATGTTACACCTTTGTTTCGAAGATCCTTTTTAGCTTCTTCTATTTGCTAAAAGAAACAGGTGACAACGGCATTAGATAATATTTCATGTATTATATCCTGTATTATTTAGATAATATTTCTTGTATTATATCTTCTTGGATAAAAAAAAAGAACTAACTTGTTGGAGTTCAACAGCTGCGCTTTCGCAGTTATTAAAAGTGAATACTCTGAACAAGACGACAGTAGCTGCATACAATCCAAAGAGAAATAAGAAAATAACGGGAAGGAAAAGTATAATTTCATGCCATTCCTTGACGAAAGTGGAGTTGCTTGTAATCGCAGCGAACCAAACGCCAAAAATCACAGTTGCACATGACAGCCACTCCAGCAATTTTGTCATCTGTAAACAAAAGATGATTATAATACTTCCAAATTATTTATTGAAATGGAACGAAATACTTGGTGAAAAACATTCGATTCTTTAAAATCGTACGAACAGGTTTTAGAGAAATTAACATACACATAAACTTTATTATTATATTACACGTAAATGATAAAAAGTTTTATATTAATTTTACTGAAATTTTTGTGATTATCAAATATTTTTGATATCATCAAATATGATCAGGCATGACACAAAAATTCCAGTAAAATTAATATAAAACTTTTTATCATTTATATGTATTATGATATGAAGTTTACGTATATGATAATGACACCGAAATCATAAATGTTTTTATACATACTTTCTTAATATTAACCTTCTTAACCTCAAAAATCTTCAAAAAAGGTTACATGCATGCACCACGAAAATGTGAGATAATCGAAGAGGGAATGTCATCCGTGTCAGTTAGTCCGTACTCCGTGTACAAATTGCGAAGCCAACAAACGTAAAACTCGTATACCCAAGCTAAAGTATTGAGTTTGCGTGTCTCTCAACCAATTAGAACGAAGAAATATTTGTCCCGATTGCACAAGTTTAATGTGGGAGGGGGAGAGAAGGATATGTAGTGTTTACATTCAAACCTTTCTAAACTCATGAGGATTGGACAATTTCCATAATCTTTTTCAATTTTTATGCTAAATTTGGATAATCTTAATTATATTGCGATAAGTTCTAATTTACGAAGCGTTTCGTGAAGAAAACAAATGCAAACGTACTCTGTTAGATATATATTCATTATTTACAAATATTTGTTAAACCACAATTTGTCAACCGGACTTATCCATTTTTGGCAACCGAGCATATTATTCTGAACCATATATTTCCAAGTCCAAAGATGCTGATTATTTTCTTCCAACCATTTCTCTTCAGCTTCCTTTTTATCCAATATCTCTTGACTAACGGCTATGGCTTTGAATGGCAGTTGATTTGCTACTTGCGTTAATACTTTCTCTACCTAAAAGAAAATTTGAAATATTAGTGTATTTTCATTCATTTATATTTTCCATTTAGCAGTCAACTTCTAGTATCTCGTTTCCCATTTAATTTGTGTTGATGCGCAAAATTTAAGATCATGAATTATCGTCTAAAAAATGTACCCCACTTAGAACAATTCAAATTTAGCGATTTCAATGTAAAAATTTGAATTCATAAAAATTAACAAAATACCAGAAAAATATAATCAGCAAGGAAGTTACACTACCTAAAATTCCAAAAGTAAATATTATCTAAAGTTGTCATTGACATATCTCGTAGATGTCGTCTTGATAAGATACTTTAATTGAAAATGCTGAAAGAAAACAGCATATTATTGAGTGTACCTCAAAAAATTCGCAATGGCCACCGATTTCTACAATGACTCGTCCTGCTTTAATGGGAGTGACATAGTGATCGATAGGACCTTTACCTCCACCCATACGATGTCCCTGACCCTAGATTACAGAAATCATTGTATTGAAAAGGTAAAGTTTTCTTTGGTATTCATAAGTATTAATATGATATTTGTCAAACCTTTTTTGTAACCGGTTGCCATGGCGGATCCACACGCCAAATCGCAAACATCCTTTCTCGATCGAGTTTTCTACCAATTGTCAAACGTATCATCTCAAAGTGACCGTATTTCAATCTACCTCCTCCTGTAGCCTGCAATTAAAGAAAAATGATACATCTCTGTAAAATGATACAATGGTATTCCTTGTCACTTAAATGTAGCAAATACGTAGACTTACAATGATGCCGAATTGCCGGTACATGAGGAAATTGTGCACCCCTTCCGGGCCCCGCATGTACCTTAGTCGCTTTTGCATCTTGGGCGGGCGCATTCCAGCTGGAAACTGTGGAACCCTCTCCATTATTTTGAGTCTCGATCGCTCCGGATATTCAATTTCTGACGATCACGTAATATCAAAAATTAGCATCCTTAATATTTATAATAATTACAATTAAGCGTACTTACTGCCAAACTTTATTGGCGGAGGAAAGACCTTTACACCAGCCACTGGCGTTACAGACACGGATTGCCATGCTGCAAAAATGTTGCAATGTGAAAAATAACGAAAATCAAATCCAGAGAGAAGTTTTTAATGTATCTCTGATCTTCTCAAGAAATAAATCGAGAACACTCACTCGAGAGTAAAATGCGTCCCAAGTTCCTGGATGCTTGCATCATTTTTTTGAAGATATATTTTTATTAGTTGACAGTTATACGAATCGCTGAATGATTTTAGGTAGAGAAATAAATAATCTTTACTTCAACTATTTTATAAAACAAAATTTACAAGTAAATAAATGTATTTTAACTTTTCTTCATATCGCTGAATTTGTTTGCATATAGGTTACATTACTTCATATGTGCTTCGATCAAATTAAATCAAGATTCAGAACGCGAGAGTCATCTTTCGGTAAAATGCGCAAGTTATTAGTAAATATTTATATCGACAGTTGACAATATCAATACTCTTCAATTATCTCTTATGGCTCTATGATGATATGCTCATAAAATTTATCGACGGCTATAAAAGTTTTAAATTTTTTGTCGATAAAATCTATATGTATATATATTTAAAATATCTCTCTAAAATTGTCAATCAATATAATGAGAGACGGATTTTTCTTTAAATAATCAAATATTGTGTATATAATTATAATTAACAAATAATCAAGATAATATAAAATTCAACATCGATGAGACGTCTAAAAAAATAATTATATCTTGATTTTGAATTTAATTCATGTTGTCTGGGAAGGATTTATATTGTGTTCAACAATACTTATTTTGTGCATTTATATAGGAAGAGAGGTCAATATATATATAATTGATTCAATATTTATAATTTATACTGTTTTTTTATTTTCTATGAAATAATGTATGCGATTATTGCGAGATAAAGGCACAGACAAAAATCTTATATTTTATCGATATGCAACACTATCAATATTTACAGTATCGATCATTAAAGTACTGCAGAAAATCTATAATATATATATATGTATATGCAAGGTTGGATATATAAGTTAATATATTTTTTCTTTAACTAAATTAATTGTTATAAAAGTTATAAGTGGCTTAGAAAATTAATTTAGTTACGTTAAAAATTGCACGAACAAAAAAGTAAATTATTTAAAGTTGAGATAAGATTAAATTAATTTAATTTAAACTAAATGTTGATTTTAATTAATTAAGAGCATAATTATATGTATATAGAATTAAAATGTAATTTCTTAAATTATATTATTTCCAATCTAAATATCACAGACATTACAACATGGATAATTCAATTTTAATATTTAATTTGCTGTAATAATTAGCATAGCTTTTTATTCTACTAATAATAAGATTGCGTTCTGAAAAAATACTGTTATATATAATAATTACTATTTTGTCATTCTATATGTTATAGCGCTATCAGCTTCAAATACAGAGTTTAACGGCGTATTCCGGTTTATCCATGATGCATCATTTATCCTTGTAATTGTTTATCGAATATTGAGCAATGATAAATTATGCGTTATGCGTCATGCGTAAAACAGAATGTATCCTATAAGTTTGTCAATTTCCATTTATTTTGCAGGGCACTGAGTGAAAACGTCGCGTCCATTACAATTACTACTATTATTTTTTCTAAACTACTTCTCCATAATGTTTAAAATTTTTTAGAAAAAATAATATTGACGTTTAGAATAATAAAAAGAATTTTGTTAGGAAAAATATTAATGATCAGTTAAAGTATATGTGTTTTAAAAAGAATTAGTTGAAGTTATAAACATTGACTCATTTAAAATTATCTAAATTGAGTTAAAAGTTATTAACTTTTTAACTTTTCTGTTTAACTTTTAACTAATTATAATTATATAGTTATTACCCAACCTGGAATATATATATAATGTGAATTATTACAGATTTTACTGGCAGTGTATATGGAATATGAAAAAAAAGTCGCATGAGTTCATTATGTTTTAGGACATTGCTTTGAGATGTTTGAAAGAGACAACATTCGATTACAATAGAATCAATCAATTTTTTCGTCGTTAACAAAGTTATGTAAGTATTAATTAATTAAATAATTGACATGATTTATCTGCAGACAAATCCAGCTCTTAATTGTTACGTTTTCTTCTTTATGTATTTCCAAATAGCTTTGCCTTAATTGTGGTTTTGTGACAATAAATAATGAAAACTGTTAGGATATCGCACTTTCGGAATTATCGAAAGTGCGCTCGTTTGTTCTTCGATTTCGTGCGTTGACTGCTTTTATCTATCTCCGAACTTGAATGGCTTGTTAAAAACGGATCAAATAAACTTTACTTTTGAATTCATAAAAGTTGCACGAGTTTATATTCTGCGTTTGCTAAACTCGATGCTGCACGACTCAATAAAAACATATTGAAGTAACGTTTCTAATTGTAATCTTTTAGACATGCGTGTGTTAATTAATTGAAAAATATAAATTAATCTTTTTCTTATTTTATTTTAATACGTGATATTTACAATTAAGTATGTAAGAATACCGCAGGTGAATGTTAAGAGTTGACGATTATTATAATAAAAGGAATAAAATTGAATTTATTTTATATTTTTATTCTAACAGTGTAACACTACACTATATAGTATCGCAAGAATTACATTAGTTTCTTCTCTGAACAATGATATTTTAAGATGTAAAGAATTTCATAGGTAATTGTCATTTGTCATAATTTCATCCTCGTCATAGATAGTTTCAGCGGCGTCAGCTTATAGTTAAATCCTTTTCCAGTCTAACCGCTCTTCTTTAATGCATCCTCTACTTGCTTCTTAATAAGAGCTTCCCAAGCATCAGGCTTATTTGTTGTATACCAATCGGCCATGCGATCCAAAAGGGCTTTTTGCTTTTCAGTGCATTTCTTGCATTGAGTTTGCATAGCTTCACCTAAGACCCCTGAAATCATAAACGAAAAATATGACTTATGTATATCCGATTTAATGTAAAACATTGAAAGTCATATCGGATCACGTAAAAATGAAAAAGATTAGAAAAAAAATCAGAAAGTTGATATTTAAAAAAAACGCCGCAATATTTTTTAGCATTGCTGCAAATCACGTGTGTTTAAAAAAAAAATCAAAGTTTGTCTTCTGTTAGTCACGTTTCTAAGAAAGCTGTCACTTGAAGAACACAACAAAATCGTTGAAACTTCAAGTAGTCGATGCGAAACTTGTTATAATTGTTTATGAATTATTCAGTCTTTCAGAAATTTATTCTGTTGTCGAAACATATATCTTATTAAAAAAATTTGTTTCTAGAACTTGGCTTCATTTCCAGTCAGCACACGACATCATCCATGTATATAGAACATGTCACGCCAATTGAACATTCTAAAAAAAATATTTCTACATTTTTTAAATAATTAAAATATTTCATATAAACATCTTTAGAAAATATGTGCTGCATGGGATTTCTTGCTAAAACATTCTATGTATTTTTGTGATATTTTGTCATTGCAGCGAAATCGTCGCTGCTTTCAAATAAGCGAAATAAGAATGAAATTAAGGTAATTTTATCGTGCAAGTCCCAGTCAAAAGTTAGTCCCTCCATATGACTAATAATTCAATAAAAACAAGCGTAATTTAATAAAAACATTTCGCATAGACTGTACATATGCGATTGTGTGACGTTTATGTGACACTATCGAGTTAGCGTTGAGCGATAAAACCACTTTAATGAAGAATTAATGTTCGTTTACGATACTTTTTTATTTCTGAATCGATTCATCATGCATAAATTTATATAGATTCCCAAATGGCACAGAGAGTTCAAAAAAAATTCATTCGTGTATTCAATCATCAATTCTGAATTCATTTTTAGGTGCAAAAAGAATTCTTTTTCAGAACTCCTAGAAAAAAAATCCTTTTAAAACAATAATTATAATATAATTTGAACTTTTTATCTTTTTAATCTGAAAATTAACTTAGATGTATGACATACAAATTCTTTTTGACTGAACTCTCTGTGTTACCAGGGTTCTTCATTAGTGATCGCTAAACTACTCAAGAGCTTCAATGCTTCAGCTTACACATGGTCTGTCCCCATGAGACTATAATTCTGGAAAAATCATTTATTGAAAAATGAAAATACGTTTAATATTTTTCAAAGTAGGATCCTTGAGTCAATACAGCGGTACCAGCGTTTCTGCCACTCTTCGTAACAGCGCAGAAAATCTTGACCAGACATGCCTTACAGAACACCCGTCGCGGCTGCTTAGGTTTTTTTAATAGTCCCAAAAAAGTGTCGGACATTTTTGAGACAATTAAAAAGCAGTCGTGATGAGTGTTCTGGAAGGCATAACCGGTCAAGATTTCCTGCGCTGCTATACGAAGAGTGTCAGCAACGCTGGAACTGCTGCATTGACGCTCAAGAATCCTATTTTAAAAAATGTTAAATGTATTTTCAATAAAATGATTTTTCCAGAATTAGTCTCATTACTTTGGGACCATATGTACTACCCTTGGAGGAAAATTAATTTTGAATTGATCAAAAAGCGGCAAGGGAAAAAAAGTATAATACGTAAGACATTCTGTGTGTAATGATACCAGAAAAGAATTTCGCATCTGCGGTCCTGCACGGCGCGTTGCCAATGAAACAGTTGTAATATTGCTCTCGCAATTTTTGATTCGCCAAAATTCCCTCGATATCGACATCATCATAACGATCCGAATACGTCTCTTCCGCGCCGAGTACGCACGCCAACGTAACGACGACGATCGTCAGGATGAAACTGAGCCGAGCCATCTTTGTCGTTTCTTCTATCTTGCGTTAACTCTGCAATACTAAAGTAGCACCAATCGGCGGTACATCCTTTTATATTGGCTTATTCGACACGGCAAAAAGTTGTTGTCAGTGTGAACTTAGTACATCTTATTGTCCTCACACTTCGATGACGATATTTCTTACTATAATAAGAGGGGGGAAAAAAACAGAGATTTAGCAGTGTGAGAACGTATCATCATTGTCAGCGGTGTATTTCGCGCTTGACTGATCATGCAAAAAAAATATTTACATATGCGCTCCGCCTTCGTTTTCTGATAATTTAAAAAATAAATTCTTATTGTCTGTGCCCGCGTATCCGCGCATCTCATTACGGTCGATTATTCAAAGAATGTGAGAGGAAAGTAAAAAAAAAAAACGTCTTTTTGATAAGAAATATAAATAGATAAGGAAAACATCGTACAGATTGCTTACGATAAAATTTGTACGATAAAATTTGACAACGCGAGTTTTTTGACAATTTCGATCGTATATTACCTAAAGCATTTGGATAACTCCAGAATTATATTATCCATTATAGCCGATGCGGATATGTTAACGATTATGTAAACGAATGTGTTACGGACATGAAACTAATATATTATACCTAAAGCATTTGGATAACTGCAAAATCACATATATCCATTATAGCCGATGCGGATATGTTGACGGTTATGTAAACGAATGTGTTACGGACATGGAACTAATAATAAATCTCTGTTTCTAACTATTCTTCATATAATCATATATGTATTTCACAATGAATTATTTATGATCTGAGGTATTTATAAAATTTAGTACTTTTCCAGAAGGTCTTGCGGAAATACTATCATGCAAACACCGGAGATTACAATAATAAAAGAAAAAAAAAAGAAATAGAAGAAGTTCCTATGTCACGGATGTAATTATATTTAAGTATCTCGCGTAAAATACAAAGTTCATGAAAGGTTCTGAGAATCGCGATTAATTAATTACCCGTTTCTTTGTCATAGTTATTATTGTCACGTCAAAAAAGAAAAATCGTCTTCCTATTTTTTACTATGGAAATAAACAAATATACACCTCTTACATCTTAGATATCGCCGATTTCAGCAGAATTGTACCAAAGAACTTTTCTTCTTTCGGTATGTATAATATGGATTAATAAATAGCTTACGAAGAGGAAAGACGAAATAAAAGTTATGTACTTATTTTGGCACAGACAGCAGAAAAAATCCATTTCTCACTCATTGCCTACGTCAGAGTTCACTACAAAAAAAAAAATAAATAATTCAGACAGCATGCAATGTATGCTAAAAGATTTTATAAAGACGTCATAAAAACTAAAACCATAAATCTTTATATAGAAACGTGCGTGTTTAAAAAATCTTTTAATAATAGCTTTTAAATATTGTCTGGATTAGCTTAAACTATGACCGTATTGACTACATTATTTACAAGGTTTTTTTATCTAGAATCATCTATCTAATTGTAAAAGATGGTGTTTTATTACAAATAAATATTAAATTAATATTTATCTGTAATTTTTATTATAATTATCTGATAATTATATTTTAGTAATTTTTATTAAATAATATTTATTTGTAATCTTTATTACAGATATTAAATTAATATTTATCTGTAATAAAAATATTGTGTCATAGCTGACTGTATTAATTATAATAGTCAGATCATGATTAATTATATTTTTTTCGAAATGTTTGCCTTAATATTAATATATATAAAAATTGCTACAATATTGTATGTATAAAAATGCACACAAAATTCGAATGTATCCTGAAAAGTAATCGTCAGTTAGACATCGAATTGATGTCAAACTGACATCAAAATCACGTTACTGCAATGTATCAATATCGATTCAACATTAACTCGACGAGTCATTTCTCACTGAGTATAGGTGAATATTATTGTAGAAAATTCTATGTGCTTTAAGATAATTTTATTGAATAAGCGAATTAATCGTGCTTCATAAATAGAGAAATTTCTTTATATATTTTAATAATAAAACAATTTAGTTTCATTTTTTTTGTCAGTAAACCACTTGATTCGTTATTTAAAGAGATTTAAAAATTTACAAGAATTCAAAATATTATATAGACACTAAGAGAATCTTTCAAAAAAAGTTAGACGTTTATTTTAAAACGTTAAAAGTTTAATAATTAAAATTTTGAATATTCTCTTTCTAACTGTATAGAATCTATAATATTTACTATAAATTTAAATGCGTAAATCTTTTTTAAATATTTTCTTGTTCCTTTGTTAATAATATAATACATATAAATTATACCATTAATTATTAAAAGTTCTTGCCTCATTCGTTAACTATTATATTATGCTATATATATATGTATATATATGTGTGTGTATGTAAGCCATACTATATATTATTAACAGTTCTTGTATACAAATTTGTACATTATAATTACTATATCCGCGCGTGTTTCTATACATACATATGCACTGCCAATACTGAAAAAATAGTATATATACATATGCAACGCAAACTTATATATAGATTTACAGTACTGTCTATAATATTGGAATACGGCCATTATATACTGAAAAATCATTAAAAAGTTTAAAAACGTCATATTATGTCTTAAATGATCGATGCGGGTTTAAAATTTAAATGAGGAAAATTGACGATACCGACATAGATTTTTTAAAAAGAATATATCTGTCCCTGCATCTGTCAGAAACTGAACGACTGTCGGTAACATCACATTCTTCAATTCTCAAACTTACCGTGTGCACTTGGTAAAAAGAAGTTTACTGATTTACTCGACCACTCAGTCACGAGTTTCCAATCATTGCTTCAAGATGGCATATGCTATTCATTTCGTAATTTCTATAAACAAATTTTAAAAAATACGATTGTGATCTAGATAATGGAACGATATATTGATTGAGATCTGTATACAAAATTCATGAAACATTCGAGTTGGGACATGCGAACTGCTTCGGCAACGAGGGTACGCATTGAACAACACTGCGTTCAGACAGTGACGCAAGTGTCGTTCTGTTTTTATTACTCGTTGAACTAAGAAGGTTAGTATAATGTTTGTGTTGACAATCGTTATCAAGTACGGAGTGCGGGAGCATTTTTATCGCATACGAAATCTATTTAGATAAACTTGTATAGCTGCATAATCATCCATTAAGAAAATTATTTATAATTAAAAAATGCAAAATTATTCAGCAGTAAAACGTAATTAGGCAATTTTCTTTGTATGTATGTGATGGTTATTGCAATTATACGTATATATTATGCAAGTTTGGCTAGTGTAGGTCCTAAGAATTACCTATCTAGACGAACTTGCGTAGATGCTACGCATGAAGAAAATCATCCAATCGCATTTCACGTGCGTCCGTGGCTATCTTTTGTTTATAATTGTTATGCAACTGTGCGAATCTGATAAGCGCGATCAAAATTCCTTTCTTTTCGCGAAATAAAGGCCTTTAATTGGCTGGTTATCTCGGACCTTATGCGTATTATACAGCAGTCTGCAGTGCTCCGGTGCTCCCGTTTTTTACGACATGATAATAATTCGGATCCAGAGGTATGCGCCAATCACAGGCGATGATGGGTGATGACGGTGGCCGATGATGCTGCCGACATTTGCCATATAGCCGTTTCAACTTATGTGATCGATAAAGAACGTTTTTGCTAAAAAAAAAATCTATAATCAGAATTCACTTTTGCTATCGATACTTTTTATTTTGAGACAAACTCGATAGAGGATTTATCAGGATTCGTCATTTCAGCCTGGATCGTCCGAACTCGACGATGCCATATGCCCCTACCTATCTCACGTTGAACTTTGTACTTTAAACGGTGCACAGATGGTTATAATCCCTACCTTTTCACTTGATATCGTTTCGGAGCTATTATCGGTTTCGCACTGTCATTTCTAAAGTGAAAACGACTTCGATCCGACGTAGTATCGTTCTTCAATTCCGTCTAGAAAGGAGTATTATATCGGTACATAATGATGCTCAGCAAGGTAAGTGACAAGAAAAAAACGCCGATCATGTTTGCTCGGTTATCAAAATTGCACGTTATGTGGTTTTTTTTTAACTTTTTTTTTACATTCTATACTTACTGAGTTTTGCTATACACCAGTCAATACTGAGAAATCTATATAGTTCATGTCACATATGGATTTGTCAGTATTGACGGTGCATATCGAAACGCAGCTTTGATATATTTCATTTATGAATGAAAATTGACTGATATATTGTGATTCGAGAGAATTATTTGTCTGTTTACATGTATATCATAAAATTAATAATTCTTTTTCAGATATTTAACCCGAGATTGTACCAGAAAATGGTACGATCCTTCTCGGCAGCTGCCGAATCTGCTCAAGGATATAACTTTGGTTGGTATATTTATAATATCTCAATAATATAGAGTATATGAAGGTAGTTAGATAATCGGGTACTTATATAAGTACTTGAGAATCTTATAGAAATAGAAATGATTTGTGTGAATATTCGTAGAAATATTCATTAAATATTGTCAAACTGCAATTATGGGTAAACATATATTGAACGAGTGAGATAAATTGAATTAGATATGTCAGAAAACAGAAAAGTAGGACTTCATTACTTAATCACTGTTTCACATCTGTTTATTTTTTAGAAGATAAGATTTACAGCAAAAAATTTCTTGAATGAGATAACAAATTTAAATATATACGTTACACATATTTATTTAACTTTTGTTTAGCTTTCCCAAGACAATGTTTACCTTGGATTATGTTAAGTAAAATACATATTCATTTATAGATACATAACAACATACGTTATTACCATACAAAGTTTTATATTTTCTTGAGAATGTTTTTCTGTAGATAAAAAATGTTTTAAATTGAAGATATACATTTTGTAAAAGTAGTGTGATTTTTGTAAGAAATCTTATTATTATATATAGAAGCGTATTTATTTATTTTTATAGATATATCAAATAAGAATAAAGATTATACTTACGAATAATTACATACTATATGTATCAAATTAATAAAACAGTTCTAAGTGTATATATTTTTTCATATCACATCTTTCAATACACATCTTAATATTTTTTACTACAATATTATAATATGAAATAAATATAATATGAAAATATTTTTCCAATTATTCACAAGATATTGAAATTTGTATAATTAATTTTATATACACATTGCATGTTTCATATATTATCTGAATTTAAAGTTATTACCATTATTGGATTGTTGTAGAACCGTCTGATACTCAGAAGGAAATGCAAGAATTAGCGCGGAAGTTTACCAGAGAAGAGATTATCCCGGTTGCTGCGGAGTATGATAGAACTGGAAAATATCCATGGGATATTATTAAAAAGGCATGGAGTATTGGTCTTCTAAATAAACATATACCACAACACTGTGGTATGCTTGATTTTTGCAATATATTTTGTTATATGTATCTTATACACAAACTTATAATATATTGATAAAGTAAAGAATAATATCGTTAGAAAAATAAGATTGATGATAATTACAACTTATTCCAGGTGGTATGGAGACTAGTATTTTTGATGGGTGCTTGGTTACGGAAGAATTGGGTTATGGTTGTACGGGAATAACAACTGCAATAGAAACCACAGGTCTTGGAGTAAGTTATCACAAACAGTATCTCACACTTCTGTATTACATAAAATTCTAATAATTCTTTCAGCAGGTAAAGTTTTTTCTGAATTTTATTTCCAATTTTTTAAATATAAATTTTAATTTATTTGATGTTGTGTATATATATATATATATATATATATATATATACAATGTATATATAAATTCTTTATTTATTCAGCAAACTCCAGTTATCATAGCTGGAACGAAAGAACAGCAAAAGAAATATCTTGGACGACTTATAGATGAGCCACATGTTGCGGTAAATTTGAAACTTATATATAATCTGAAATTGATGTCACATAAACTAAATAATATTATTTATAGGCATATTGCGTTACCGAACCTGGTGCAGGGTCTGATGTAGCAGGTATTAAGACTAGAGCTGAGAAAAAGGGGAAAGAATGGATAATTAACGGTACCAAGATGTGGATTACAAACGGTGGTGTTGCCAACTGGTACGATAATATACTTTAGAATTTACTATTAACTTCTGAAAAGTTACAACACATTTTTAATATAATTTCTCATCACATAGGTATTTCGTTTTGACGAGAACAAATCCAGATCCAAAAGCTCCAGCTAACAAAGCTTTTACAGGCTTTATTGTGGAACGCGATAGTGAAGGTTTAACTCCGGGTCGTAAGGTAAACTCTTGATGATAATTTCTTTGTTGTCATCCTATTTGACTGTTAACTCGAATTTTTATTAACTTATCTCTTCACATCTTAAGGAGATTAATATGGGACAAAGAGCAAGCGACACACGAATGATAACATTTGAAGACGTTCGCGTTCCCGAAGAAAATGTATTGCTTGGAGAAGGGCAGGGCTTCAAGATAGCCATGCAGACTTTTACGAGGACACGATCACCGGTTAATACTTTTAATTATTAGATCTGGTCATTAGATGCCGAATAAGTTTTGTTTTAAGATTTTTGTCGAAAGAGTATTTTCACATATATATATTACAGGTCGCAGCAGGGTCTGTCGGTTTAGCTCAGAGAGCTCTGGACGAAGCAACGAAATATGCAACGGAACGCAAAACATTTGGTAGACCGATAGCGGAACATCAAGCAATAGCTTTCATGCTAGCTGATATGACTATTGGTGTTGAGACTTCTAGACTGGCGTGGATGAAGGCAGCCTGGGCCGCTGACAAAGATTTACCGAATGCTTCATTCCTCGCTAGTATTGCAAAATGTTATGGCGCTGATGTAGCTAATAAATGTGCCACAGACGCAGTGCAGGTAAATGTACAGTACAATAACTTATATAAATATGAATTTTTATTAAGCTATACAATTAATAAAAGGATCGAGTTGATTCGATATATTCTAATTTGTCATACATGACATTTTTTTTTTCATAGATTTTCGGCGGTGCGGGTTTCAATTCCGAGTATCCAGTGGAGAAGCTTATGCGCGATGCCAAAATTTATCAAATATACGAAGGTACTTCGCAGATTCAAAGACTAATCATATCGCGTGGTCTGTTTGATGAAGCTAAACAAAAGAGCAACTAAAAATTAAATGTATACCGAACTGAATTGCATCGTAAAATTTTATTTTTATATTGAAATATTTTTATATAGTGTATTTTTATAAGCTACGAAATAATACTTGTACGATTAAACGATTATATATAGTATTTTTATTCTTAGAATGTGAATCTTTATATATATATTATACATTAATATAATATAAACGTTGCAATTTTTATATAAGGGACATATAAAAAATATATATCAAATACGAATTGTATATGCTGTGTAACTATTTTGTATGTGCTTTGTAACTATATAATATGAATGTTCGTGTGAAAATTAAATCATTAAAATTCTTTTAGACTTAATTCAGAAAAATGCAGACCATTTCAATTGAAAACACCATAAATATAAAAATTAACAAAGAATTAACGAAAAAAACATCTGTAATACAAAATGTTAAAAAAATGACAACTTTTATTTTTGACATATCCTATATAGTGTCTAATTTTTTTATGTATTTTTGTTTCTACGTAATTTAATTCGCGAAAAAGAACATTTTCAATAATGCTTTGCAACTATAATATGAATGTTCATGAAAATTAAATCATTAAAATTCTTTTAGACTTAATTCAGAAAAATGCAGACCATTTCAATTGAAAACACCACATAAATATAAAAATTAACAAAGAATTAACGAAAAAAAAACGTAATACAAGATGTTAAAAAAATGACAACTTTCATGTTTGACATATCCTATATGCAATGTCTGGTTTTCTAAATGTATTTTTGTTATCCAAGTCCTCGAAAAGATGGCAATTTATACAAGTTTTTTATTTTCAAACTCAATTTCATAACTCACGTGAGTTGATTATTGTGTACCAATTTCTTAACGTGTTCGTCCCGACATTCGTATTCTTTAACGACGAGGCGACGAAAGAAAGTCGAGAAAACGCGAATTGATTCCCGACGAGTTTGATCGACGTCCAATCGAGCCTTTCGAACGTGGTCGAGTCAACGCGCGTCGCGATCGAGAATCGACGTTTTGAAACGGGCGCGCTGGCGCGACAGGCGGCGCTGGCCGCGCCGGCGACCGGGAGTGCGTTAGTCAAGTGCATTGTTCATTGAAAACGTATTACGGCCGCATTATGTCCGTCGGACCGTAGCCTTTTTCACGCGGTTCTACTCTCGGTGAAGTCGCGCGTGACGAGTTATGCAACGTGCGCCGCGTAAGGGCGGCCCGCGCCGGGCGATCGGACACCGCGGCAGCTGACCTACTTAGAGCTCGGCCTATCATCGTCGTATACCCCGCGACGACGACGCTGCGGCGATCGAATCCGAGCCGCTTGCCGGACCGGACCACGCGAGAGAGGAGAGGTTCGTGACGGATCACCCAGGGTCAGGCTCGCGCGCGCGCGCGAGAGAGAGAGAGAGCGGGCCGAAAAAGCCGGCGCACGGGATCGTCCCGCCGCGGCGCCGGGATCCGCGGAGCGACGTCGTCGACGCGGGTCGACTCTCGCGGCGCGTCGGCGGCGCACGGTGGGCGGGCGAGGGGGTGGGTGGGTAAGGCGGGGAGCGGAGGGGGGACGAACACCTTTTGGAAATTGCGTCTTTCCGCCCGCGACGGAGCTCGCCGATGAGAGGCGCAGTGCCGTAACCGGCGCGCGACGGCGCCCGGAACGAGGGGTATCGCGGGTCCGCCCCGGGCCGGCGGGGGGACGGGCATGTAACGGCGTTTTTCGTTGAGAGCACCCAAGGTCTCTTTCTCCGATCTCTCTTTCCACTCTTCTTATCTCCTCTCGGTCTCCGTAAATACGGAAGGAAGCGACGAGAAAGCGAGCGTGTACACCGGCGCGTACACCGCGGGATCACGCTCGATTACGGTTTTCCCTTTCGTTCGGCCACTGCCGTACACACGAGCGCGGCGTAATACGAGGCGAATTGAGGTGAAGCGCCGCGGCGCGAGCGAGGGAGAGATATCGCGAATCCGAACTGCGGCGCGGGACGCTGATGCGAATCGGAGCGACATGCGGACGCGCGCGATTAATAGGTACGCGGCGATCGTGGATCGAACGCGCTCGCGTTGACCCCCCCCCGACCTTCGAGTTTTCCGTCGTGTCGCGAACCGACGGTCTTCAAGAGGACAAATCTCTCGCGTGAACTCGGCGATTCGATCGCGGGCGCACCGGAGGAAGAGGGCACTATTATTCGTCTCCCGCAATCGCGTGAATCGAGATTTCCGAGCTGCGACGTCGAGTCGTCCGCGAGCGTGTCATTTACGTTTGCTGTCGGGAGGAAAGAAAGAAAGGAAGGAAGGAAGGAAGAATCAAAGATATCGCGTCGCGGCGAAAGAAAAATGCGGATGTGTGGACGCGGAACGGCGCCGCGTGCCCCGCTACGGTCCTGGCCGGCTCTCGGCACTGTCAGTCGGCGCGACAGTGCGCCGGACGCTCGCTTGACTTAGGGAGTGCCCGTGCCGATGCAAAGTGTAAGTGAAGTGGCCTACAGACCTACATTTGTCTAACGTTCCATTTTTTTCACGGGCCGTGACGGGAACGGGAAGGTTAACGAATATCGCGCGCGTCACCTCCGCGTCCTTTTCCACGGTTAAGCGTGGCGTGTGCGTGTACCTGCGATGCCGCCGTCCCGCGATATACCGTCGTTCGACTGACGAGACGAGGGACGGGCGAGAGAGACCGAGAAAGAGAGAGAGAGAGAGAGATAGGTGGATAAAGGTAGACGAGGACGGAGCGAGCGGCCGGAGCGAGCGAGCGAGTTAACCGTGGCGGTGGTGCAGTTTCGGTGTACGCTCTCGGACACGGCGCTCTGACCGGCGCGCGCGCGCGGGGCGCGAGCGTGAAAGGAGACGGAGTGTGAGAGAGCGAGAGTGAGTGAGTGAGAAAGGGAGCGGGAGGGAGGCAAGTCGTTCGTGAGAGTGACGGAGAAGGCGTGAGAGAGAGAGAACGATAGGAGAGCGTACGAGAGGGAAAGCGAGTGAACGAGACGTTGGCCGGAGGGGGGAGGCAGGGAGGGAGAAAAAGAGTGAAAGACAGAGAGAAAGAGAGAGTGAGCGTGGAGAAAGAGGTACGAGAACGGGGCGCACGCTATTCCGCGGGACGGAATCGCGAGGAGAGAAAGAGGAAGAAAGAAAGAGCGAACGAACGAAAGAGAGAGAGAGAGAGAGAGTGTGAGTGAGAGAGAGTGTGAAACCGAAAGGGAGCAAGTAAAAGAGTGTAGGTGTTCTTCCGAGGAGAAGTGCGTGCGCTCGCGGGAACAACGTGCCAGGAGAGGTGGAGGGAATCCTGTCTGTCCGTTTGTCTGTCTGTCCGTCTATCCGCCGGGACACGCGAGCCCCGGGATGGCTACGAGGACAGGGGAGGGCGAGGGTGAGACACCCGCGACGGTCTACGACGACAACAATGCCGGTATCGTGACGACGGCGGGCACGCTCGCGGAATCGTCCACGTCGTCTTCGTCCTCCTCCTCCGCTACCGCCGCCGCGGTGCCAACGGTGATCCTGACGGAGAGTACCGCTACGAGCGCCGGTAGTCTGCCCTTGACGGGATCCCAACAACAGAGCAGCCTGCATCAGGTGCATCATCAGCAGCAGCAGCAACAGTCGCGACAGAGAGTCAACCTGATCGCCGACGTAGCCGTCAATGATGTCGCAGGTAACCTCAATGACTCTCGCTCTTTGGGGCCTTTGTTGTCGCTATGTACCGCTTGCCAACCCCTTCTCTCCCCCCCTTTCCCGTTCCCTTCTCTTTCTCTTTCCTGGCTTCGCTCTCGCGTCTTCCTTCTCGCTCTCATTCTCGTCTCTCTTTCTTTCCGCCCGTTGCTCTTTTCGTCTCTTCTGTCTCTCTTCTTCTCTACCTCCTCCTCCTCCTCCTCTTCCTCGTGTCTCGAATCCTCTGTCGTCTGTTGCATCGCACGCGCGCGCGCATTGATGCCGCGTGGGTTCGCGAGACACTTCCAGATTCGCAGGACTGTGTGTTCGTTCGCTCCCATAAGGCCGCGTAGAAGCCAGTAAATACCTTTCCCAATTCCCTCGAGAATTAAAGGTACACCCGGGACAAGAAAACGGAACGCTCGATACGATGAAAAAGAGTAAACTCGCAATTAAGTGCAATTTACTTAATGCGCTCGCCGTGCATCCGCGCGCGATTCGATTCCCGCCCTAAATTGCGTCTAATCGCGATCACGTGTGGACCACCGATCGCGGAGAAAGAGAGCCGCGTATAGAGACAACGGCCCCGCGTTCCTGATTTAGTGCCGACGAATCGCGTAGTTGCGGTGTTGTAGTGGCGCAACATACGTTTTCGGAGCGAAATTCCGAAGCCGCGCGAGCGCGCGCGCGTAGTTGTCTCTCCTCTCCGTCCGTCTGTCCGTCCGTCCCGTTCGTCTCCGTCTGTCATCGTCTCGAATTTAGAACAGACAGCCTTCAAGTAGCTTCTTTATGAATGCCGCTAGTTGCAGCAGCACACCCGGGGACACCCTTCGCGGGCAAAATAGCGGTTCGTCGAAAACGAGATTCGGCCGCCTTTATATTTACGTCGACGCTGCTCCCCTCCGCTCTCCCACCTCTACTTCTGTCTCTCTTTTTTTCTTCTCTTCTCCTTTTTCTCCTTTTCCGCCCCTCGACGTCTCTGCACATCTTTTCCGTTTCTCGTCCCTACCCTCCCGTTCCGCCGCGACGCGAGAATGTTGCGCGAGATGAGTTTTTTTTTCCTCGAGCAATATTGCGATTAATTTTCCGCAGGTGACTCCCGTCTCCTTTCTCTGTTTCTCTCTTTTTTGTTCTCCCCCCTTCCCCCCCCTCTTTTTGTTGCTCTGGTTCAACTGTGCACCGCTTCTTTCCTCTCTTTCTGCCTTGACACGAGACTGTAGTCGGTGTTCCGCGAAGCTCGTTTGCAAAAGTATCCGCACGCTTCTCTCACCCGAATACACGACGACTCCACTAAATCACTTAAGCGGAGCATACTGGGGCAAGTGGCAAGCCGGTTCCGATTAATTCAAAATACAGGTGTTAAATGAAGCGACGAGAGAGCGTGAGGAGAACCGGTGTATCGGTTTATCTTTCCACAAATTGAGATCTTTCCACGAGAGAAGACGTTTCTCAACAAATGCCTGAAATTCGATGATGTCGAATCCAGTGCCAGTTTAGGAGAAAAATTATGAATAAATTTGTCAAACCAAGTTTTTGTTTTGATATTTGCCCCCCGTTTCTTCCACTTGTCCCAGTTCATCCGTCCATTCATCTAATATACAGCCACCTCGAATCTCCGCTCCGTCTCGGCGGAAACTAATTAATTAAGTTGCGTGTTCTCACAGCCACTCTTTACTTCACTGTTTGCTCTGTACGCTTTTTTTTTTTCAAAAGAGCTTGCTACACGTTCTAATTCGATCACGTAACGGAAGCGAAATATTTTCATCCTGTTAAATCCCCTCTGTCACTAATACCACGTGTTTTACCGGCGCGCGATCGCGTAAGACTCGAGATACACCCTGCGTACAAACAGATGCGTAAACGAGAGGGTCCGAATCCAGTAATGAGGTAAGAGCGCGACGTACATGCAGTGTAGTACGCCTTATAAGTCACATAAGTACTCACGCTGCATTAATAAATGTTAAATGAAATCAACTTACTCGCGAAGACGTGCCGGACGACAACCCGTGGTTGAATTCGCTCGCATAAAATTTGCATGCGATCGCGCGACGTATGAATTAAAGTGGATAATTAGTGTCACGGAGGCGTCGGCCTACTCCACTTTTCGCGCAGTCTGCTTCCGTTTTTTGCGACTACTGGCGCACGCAGAGATCTTGGGTTGTCTCTCGAATCGCGAAAATGATTTGATTTGTCGAACGGTCGTTCGTCAAATTTACAATTTTAACATTAAAGAAAACAACACAGCCTCAACATAACCACTCTCCCTTTCAGAATATGTTAAATATATTACATGACAACTTTTGTCATTTTCTTAAGAATTATTTCGTAAAGCGAAGAATAATAATTAAATAATTTTTTTTAACTACAACTTAACTTAGTGTCAGTAAATAAATACTTATGAGTACGAAGTTTGATAACAATGATAACATTGATAAAACTTGTATTTTCTGCTTCCCTGTTGGCTCTGTTTCTCATATCTGATATTCAAAAAGTCATAGCACGTCATTTTTGTGTAGTCAAAAGTACTTGTTTTTTTGAAAATCTAAATGTGGCGAATTTTTTCTATAGATCTTGTATAAATGCAGCGAATAAATTTTTTTCGTTATGAAATCACAAAGTAGATCGCTTACAAAAACTTCGAAAAAAGCTTATAGCATATATTTCGGTTATCAAGTAAATCGGAAATCTGGATAAAAATTGGATTTCCTACGTATGCTTTATACGTTGTTATATATTTTTTTTTCACCCGGAAAGGAAAGAAATATCTGAAATTTTTTTCTAAAAGGAAAGTAATATATGCGTTTAGGATTCATTTTTCTATCTCGCGATATAAAAATAATAGAAGGAAAATTAAACAGTTTCTATTGAAAATGATATTCTGATATTTCGATAGCAAAAAAGTTATACGTGCTACGAACTTTTTATTGATATTTTTATACTCAGTAAGTAAAATCGATCAAGAATCTCCTTATTTATTTCATGTTGCCAAAAAAATGTTTACTTGTTGATTAGAGTAATAGACAATGTTAACATTGTTAACAGACATCAGAATGGTTATTGAATATTGTATCGTGCAATGGTCTGGAAAATCATCTTGAAATCAATTATAGATTAGAATGATTATTCCGATTACTTACTCCGCGCGCAGCCGGCGCAAAATTTGTCGAAATACCCTTATTACATTCGTCGTAATTCATCGAGCAGACATCTCGGTACTCATGTCGCAATTATCAGGCCCGCCGCAACGTGCAACAAAGATCGTTAACGTTTTCTGTTACGATGCGTCGCCGAAGTAATTTATAACCGGTGCGCCAATTGTATGTCTCTCACGTGGCTGGTAATGACGTGACACCTGCCGCTATGATCGCCGAACCATACCCGGAATTGTTGGCACGCGAGATCGCCGCGCCGTTTCCGGTAACGAATGGTAAACACACGATGGCAAATACCGAGTTGCGAAGCGTGCACGTGTCTCTGCCTTTTAAGATAATTTCACGAAGTTCTAATACACGTCTCTTGTTTGCTCAATCAAAATCTTTGAAGAAGACTACACATATAAAAAAAAATCACACATATAATCACATGTATACATTTTTCTAATGTAGATAAAAGATAGAAAAAATTATATATCTATTTTTATGCGCTCGTAAAAATCCTTCGAATTTGCATTCTCGCACTCTCAACTTGACGCTTGATTCTGAAAAAAACAATCATATATATATTTTTTTTTTCTAATGTCAGAAAAAAATTATATTTCTATTTTTATGCACTCGTAAAAATCCAGTGAATTTGCTTTCTCGCACGCTTAACTTGACGCTTCTACTTTTACTCCAAAATATAACGTTAAAAATATTCAAACGTGATAATTGTTCGCGTTTAAAGATGAAAAACGATTCTTATTTTATCTGAATGTATTCTTACGGTTTCTTTTTCTTATTGAGTTTCGATTGCACATCCCTTTTCGGAGAAAAATGTAACACAATCGATCGTCACTTGACAAAGCAGCACCGAGTGTGCCGCCACGAGACGGGTATCGTGATAGATAACGTAGGAAGTGACATAAAATTATCAGCAGGAAGTATCGCGCGCTGCTTCGCTCCTGTCAATTTGATAATGACACGCGTGAGATTCCGCCATCGGAGATATTCCGGTCGTAATTTTGCAATTGCCACGCATACACTATAGGGATGGCTTAATTTTGATACCGTTAGTCTAACGCAAACGTCTAAATCCGTCGTTATTGTCCATTAAATGAAGATTATATTTTCGAAAAGGTCGTACGATAATGACTAAATGTAGGCAACGATTAGAATTAATAAAATACAAGGCGCCAAGATGGAGCGATCATGCATGTCGATTTATCAGTATGGAAATTTATTTTCATCGTATATCCGGAATTGTCTCTTCGTGTAATCAGATTGGTAGTTATGCACATCGATTTATCAATATGGAAATTTATTTTCACCGTATATTCGGAATTGTCTCTCCGTATAATCAGTATTTTCGCGTGTAATTATAAATTCATTATAGCTTATGGATTCGAAAATTTAAGAATACAAAAAATCAGTTATCTATTACTAAATTCGATTGAATGCATTAGTGCACGCTGGTGCACATTAAAGTCATTATACAAATCGATGTAAGAATGTGTTTAATATATAGTATTAATATACAATGTTAATATTTAATATAAATAGGTTGAACTCCAAAATTCCTAATATACTTTATTGCTGTTTGGTAAAATGTGTTTTTTATTATTCGAGACATTTTATTTTTAGATTAGATCCGTGTACAATAGTTTTAATATGTATATTAATATGCACTAGTGTGTCCAATCGAATTTGCTATACACATAATTCTCAAGGTGGTTGAGTGTACATTTTTCGAAATTATACTTGAAAAGTGGAGGCTAGTTTGGATAAATAAAATAGTTTAATACATGTGTGTGTATCGAATCAGTTGAACGAATTATACAACTGAGCAAATTATTAGTGATTCAATGTTCACAATGCGCGTTTAAGATTGAAACGATCGACGAATTTTATTGTTGTATCAACATGTTGCGTTCGCCTCGTTCTGGCGAACGCAAAAAAGGTGAGTTACGGTTTTCGAAAAACGAAATTGGTTCAAGGGATCTGGAAGTGTACGCTAATCATGACTGATTGTACGCTAATATTCTTGCTAATTTTTTCATTGAATACGGGACGATGTCCCGTCGAGCGAGAGCAGGCTTACTTTTAAGTTTTTGCTCGTTCAAACAGTTTTTTTTCTTCATATATTTTGTATGTATAATTACCGCATTACTCGGGCCATTCGGTTTCTTTTACCGTTATTACGAGAATTGCTTTACTGTGTTCTATTTCTACAAAAAAAAAATATTTTACTGTTGGTCCCTTTCATTGTCAGTGAAGCATCGGTCGTACGTCAATTTTTACTTACGTATTGCGACAAAAGAGGGAAAGAGATCCCGCGGTGCTTTCGTCACGAAATTCGGCACGTGGCATGTTGAAATCCGGCAGTATTTCCGGCATTAACGATGACCCAAAAATTACGATCTACTGGGAGAAAAGGAAGAAACGGATGCGCGCCGGGTATTGTACGATGTAAATATAAGGCGGTGCCTCACGTCTACCTGCTGCGCCAGAGATGCACTTGTTGCGCATCTTGCTCGACGCCAGGCAAAACGACACACGCTTTCCGCGTGCTAAGTCACAATTGTGCTCGGTCGGTAGGGGTAGAAAATCCATTCCCTGACCCCACGGTGATAGGAATGAGGGAAATTCTTCGACGTCTCCGATCGATGAGAGTAAAATCGAACGACTGTGGAAATCGGATGTACACACGTTAAGTGACGACGGTCGCGCTTTCACTCCACTATTGCGTAACAGTGGGGATGAAAGATTTGGTTGCGGCCGTGTAACGACGCGAGATTGCCCAATTGTCTCTCAAACACCTTACATCGCTGAAATGCCTTGTGATAACAATTAAGGTTGTTTTTCATCATATAACGAGTTTGAGACGAATTGTACAAACGTTAAGCTTTTATCACATGTTACATTCAAATTACAAAGAAGTATGCAAAATTTAGAAAATTTTGTGTGCCACTAAAATTTGAAAACCAATCATTATGAAATTTAACACAGGCATACGCGGATAGAATTTCCTTTTAAAATTTATTCTAAAAATCATGTTAATCGTGGGACAACATAATATTTTGACAGATTTTACTGTGCACTACAATAAATCTGCGATAGTATATATTTAAAAAAATAGTGAAAATCACATAAAATTCATCGAAATACTACGTTGTCCCACGATTAACATGATTTTTAGGATAAATTTTAAAATAAAATTCTCTTCGTGTAGTATGAGAAAATATAAAGAAATCTAACCAAAATCGAATGGTTAAATGAGTAGATCCTGATAAAAAATCAGAAAATGGATCCAGTAACTGCAGTGTCATTTGCCATTTTTAATCTCAATTTGACAATAGACTAGCGTTGTTCGTAAATAACAGTTGGCAATTGGCAGGCTAAATGTATGTGAATGCTGTAATCTTCGTTTATCACCATCGGTCCATCACTATTTCCCGTTGTCGGTTTTCTTTTGCATTCAGAATCTATTTATTGACCCATTTGATTTTGGTTAGATTTTTTTATATTTTGCCTCATACTATGTCTAGGTATGCCAAGTTTCATGGCAATTGATTTTGTACCACAAAATTTTCCCAATTTTACGTACTCCTTATGTAGATCTGGGAAGAGGTAAAATCGTTTTTTGCATTGCGCATGGTAATTCCACGTATCTATATAGCTGCGCTTTTGTATCTCAGATTCTGTATTTAATTCGGATCTGCTTTTAATACGAAGATTCAAAGAATATTTATCGCGCGTACACGTGACCAGAAATCGGAAAATCGCGTAAATAATTCGCTGACGTGAAAGTTCTGCTGTGACTAATGTAAGCAAATGTATAAGATTAAAAATTTCGGACCACCGCTCGAGAAAATACTCAGTTCGGCGTTTTGTGGCAGAGAGCATGGTGGAAATAAGACACGTGTCTGACACGTGTTGTTTTTCGAGAGTTACGTGCCCCGTAGAAGACGTCCATGTTCAGAATTCTCGCGGCGCGCGTTCTCGTCGTCGCGTGTTAACGTATACAGAAAGAAACGCTGACGCGCGTTTGATGTAACGCGGTACGACGGTGTGTAACGAAAGGTGTCTCGACAAGCGTTCCGATAAGGCAGCACCCATAAACTTCACGGGGAGTGGAATGATAAATTACGAAATATCAATAGAATTCATTTTCCCTTTTGTATTCGGAAATAATTACTATAACAATAGGAGCACGCGACCCTCTTCACCCTTTCGTGCTTTTCCTGTTCCGCTTATCTTCTTCCATATTGGTTCCGGTTAACTTTTTACTGGTGACACGACTGCCTTTAACGTAACGCCATTCAGTCGGATGACACAATAAATGGGTTGTTTCGCAGTTTTCGTCAAAGATATTGCAGGAAAGAAATATCTGTGCCGTTTCGTTTTGTCCGCGCTCACTATTGTCGCAACCGATATTGTTCCGATTCTCTGGAGGGGATGTTCAAAGGCTCGACGTTTCAAAAATAAATTTATGTATTTGGGGTCTCACCCTGCGAAAGGTATTATACCTTTCGCAGGGTACACTGACAAACAGATTAGTTCTGATTTCAGGCGTATCGTTGTTTTATTATTTGGATTTCAGGTTCCCGAGTCTTTTCAAATAGCCTAATTTTTCTGAACTATATAAAAGAGCCGTAAAAGTTTATCTGACAAACTTACAACGAATTATCTCCTACTAGGATTTGTGAACTTTAGTGAGACACACATTTAACAAGTATAATCTATAAATATCTATAAATGAACAGAGCGAAACGACCTGGTCGGTTGTGTATAAAATTTAGAAAATGACAAAGAAAAGGGAACAAATAGAACAAGTAAAATTCAGGAAGCTTACGCTACCGCACAAAGTAAGAAAAAAATATCAGGACTTAAACCGATTTATTGGCTTATCTTAATTTGTCACGATCCGTCCAACTTCTGAAGCGGTGCTGTGCTTCAAAAGCTGCGGAATCCGATACTAAAATATTACTGGAAAAAAATGTCTCGTGACCAAGCAAATCGCAAAACAGAAGAAAGAAGGAGAAATGAAGAGAACGGTACGACCAGATCGGCTATATTCCGCCTTCTTTCTACGCGTTTGGCGCGTAGGTGTAATTGGGAAGTATAAACAACCGTCTAATAATCTACTTCCACGTATGATTAAAAGAAATGAGCTAACGCGTGCGTCTTTCGTTGTCATCGCGAGACGTTTCCGCCAATTTTGACGCGCGAAAGGATCGATCCTCCCTTTCTCTTCCTCTTTTTTTTCCACGGGCTCGCAGATACCCCCGGATCGGTGTAATGTACAACCAGCGTCGTAAACGACTCACCTATATGAGCAGTTTTTATGGCACCGCGCGCTCACACACACACACACACACACACACACGCGCGCGCGCGTATCCACCACCCACCACGCCGTTAAAGACGATGGGGCCGTTTCTCCTCCGTCTCGCGGCCGCTATTGAATCGCTTGACCCACTTTGATAAACTCACATCGGAATAACTCAATAGTACCGTGTCGCGAGCCGACAACAGTAATTATTATTCAACGTCCCCCGGGTCGCCCCGCTTCGATTCGCGGGAGTGCGCGCGCGCGCGCGCGGTACACACACGCTATCGGTATACGCGTATCAATTTATCTAGATAGATGTACCCACGTGCCCGGGGTGCACTCCGGCGTAGCCTCCTCGCTGAAGCCTCGCGAAATTAAACGCGACACCGTCGCGCTGCAGCCAGTCGTCGTGATTATTTTTCACAGCGATATACGAAGGCGCGCCACGCCAGCGACATGATCTTCGGACGTGATTCTACACGGGAATCATACCGCTTGGGAAAAACGTTTTAAGCGTTGTCTGTTTTTCTTGATTTCTCTCGATCTTTCCTTAGTTACCATTGCGTATCTTTTGAGCCCGTGTCACACTGCGCATTGAAAATCGAGGATTGTGAATTACAAATTAAAATTCGATCAAGGACGGATTAAAAATTTTAAATTATCTGATTGATTGAATTCTAATCTTCAATTCGCAATACTGAATCTCCAATACGTATAATTGTGATGCGGACTTTAGGAATGACACATTCCAATTTGCGTTGTCCTAACGCGATATTTTCTTCAATTGGCGGTAGATATGCCATACAAGTTGTGAGAAAATTGCATTTTCACATTTTTAATATCATGTGCAATTTTGCAGCCGTCACGAAGATGATCTCATATCTTCTTCCGAGGAAACGCGAATAGACTGGTTGGAAAAATGATGCTTACACTGAGAAAAATGTTCTGATTATATCAACGAGACGTTAGCTAGAATGTTTCACAGATTTAACTATATATATTTGGTTGGATCTATAAAATTTCCGAGATTACATTCACTAGACTTTTCTTTTACTGAAAAATTATGTTAACTAAATAATTAATATAGTATCATTATCAAGAAATTCTGGGTACTTAATAAGAAAGAATTAATCATGCTCATCTAATATTTTCTAAAAGAACTTTAATTCGTTCATTTTCTAATAGACATATCGGTTGAATCTACCAGATTTTCAATTCATCCATCTAGATTTTTTCCTCAGTGTAGTTTAAAAGTTGCTGCTTCATTGGATGATCATCATATAATTACCGAATAGTATAATAATAGAAACAGAATAATTGCATAACATTTTTCTCAGAAGACGTATTTAAATGCATCCGAAGTTAATTCGATGTCAATTTTCTGGCCGCTTATGTTATTTGACACACCGCGGAACTTTTAATTCCATTCTCCACGATTCGTAGCAAAATTTGCCGTCGGTTACGCTGACAAAATTCCACGACTGCCGTCGCGTGGCGCCCTCGCGTTGTTATCAATAACTAACATCTCGCTGATATATCTGATACGAGACCGATATTTAATGCAACGTACATACATGCATGTATATTGCAATAGATTTAGGCGCATGTCATGTTCCATGCGCGATTCCCTTTTATTTTATTTTTTTAAAATCTACCGATTCTCGTGAATTGTTCGTGCTCCTGCAGATACCGACCTACTCCGCATTTTGGAGCACGCTGAATTATGTGTAACGCACGTACCTATCTATTAACAAACGGAAGGAGGCAACGTTAAACAGAGGAGAGTGTTAAAAGGTTTAGCACGGCGGAAACGTTCGATTTGTTCAGCCATGCGTATTTAGAATGTGGAGTGATCGGTGGTAGAACGGAACGCAAATGAGAAATGCACAGTGATTGATTGCGATACAATAGACCTCCGATTTCCATACAGTTATTCTAAAATTTTTTCGTTTATATGTATTAATTCATGTAATGAAATATGTAAAATTTATGTAATATATGTTCGCTTTTTTTATTTATCGTCATCAAAGATGCGAGATATGTGTGTGTATGTTACTTCTATTGTCTCTACACAAAGAATAATTCACTTTATACTCACCTATATGTATTACATAGACAAATCTCTAATGAATTTTACAAATCGTAAAACATCGAAGAGTGTCTTTTTATACAACAAAGTAACTGCGATTCTATACAAGAGACACGCGGATATATTCAGTTTTGTTTCCAGTAAAAATAATTTACAGAGATATGTTAAAGAGGAAGTTTGCCATAGATTTGTTTTCTTTGCATTTTCTAGAAGGTATATGATCATAAAAATGATGGAAAGATACAGTGTTGAAACGTATTTTTCTTAGATGCTTCAAAATGCTTAGATGCTGCCCGTGTGTAGAAGTTTCAAGAGAGAGTACTTTGCAAAAAATCAAATAAAGTCTCTCTGCCGTTGCCGAAATCCTGCACGCGACCAAAATTGCAATTCA